GAAAGTACATCTTTGTCAGCCCGTCCTATGACGAACACAACAACCACATCTGAAAACTGGGTCACTCCTCAGAATCTACAGCCTTTCTGCGCAACAACAGTCAAGAGTCTGTTAAAGTAGGCGCATCACGGCAATGTAACGCACTGATGATTCTGTTCAAACCAACGACGGCGTGGTGAAATAAAACCACCTATTATTCATTTTAAGAAAGTTCTTAACCTTTTGTACCTGTTACCTTCATTCAATAAAATTACACTTGGCGGGATGGCCCCATGTGTCATGCGTCAAGACCAGAGATGAATACTGGAATGGTTCTCTCTGGTTGTAAATGTTTCTCATAAGTACGGAATCAGTACGGAAAAAAACATTCTGAGAAGTGATCAGCCACATATGCATTACTTAGTACGCAGAATCCTGTTTGTCATCGTCCCTGTGTAAACTTTAGCCTCGCTAGGATAAAATGATCTCTAGCTGCGATCCATGCTAAATCAAGATTTGTCAAAAATGTCGTTGACATGATGACGTACAAATCCGTTGGTTTTCTGGCATAAACAACCTCGTTTCCAGGGTTTTCGCTTTTCCTCCAAGAAGACCCTGAAAGCTATCACAATATCGGCTGCACACACCAAAACATCGACTGCGGATCGATAGTACCCTGTGAACAAGCTTTCCTTTAGACCTCACATGCCAGGGGCGAGTTTACTCGTACACTCGGTTTCGCCTTTCGCGCGTGACCCAAAGGTGTATATCAAATGATCCACTTGTTAGTTGTGGAGGGGAAAAGCTGTAAGCTTACTCTTTTCTTGACCCAAAGTTCGTCGCTCAACCGAGTAGCAAGCTGCATTTTTTCCTAATTTTTTTCAGGTGTTACACTGAGACTTCTCCGACCAAGGCCACTTGAACAAACTCATTGCAAATTGACCACTGGCAGTTTACTAAATAATGTGTTGCCTTTGTAATGTACGGCTTAATTAATTACATGGATGATTTATTCGAAAACTATTGTTAACCTCCACCATTTATATTCGTTACATTTGTAGAAAGTTTTGTCGGGCGGCCTTGGTTTGAGTAGTCGCGCTGTAAGTGAATGAAGTGATAGTTTAGTATGAGGCTGACAAAGTGCATCCAGGCGAACTGGTTCCATGGATGTCCTGTGGTGGAAACTAAAGAAACAGTAAATGATAACAGCGAAACGCATTTTCCTTTGTTGTGAAATGTCAGTGTTGAGAACATAAAATAATAAGAAATAGATAAAATAATGTTAAAAAACGCTAGTGTTAATTTGAAATAACCTTCCCAGCTAGACTTGTATCCAGTATCTATTTAATTTATAGACTGGACTTTTTCGACCGTTCCTATGACACTCTGCGCGCCTTAATTCACTCTAGTATCCAATCTTCTTTTAAATAGCGACTGGGTACGAGTATGCTCTCCACCCACAAAAAAGAAGGAAGACAGAGTTCGAGACGCATTTTATTTGCAAATCTTCTCAAGAGTTGTTTCATTTGAATATTAAGCTCGCATCAAATTATTCTTCACTTCTAAATAAAATTATTTCCTACCTACACATTGTTTTAGAGGTATAAACTGTCAATTCTCTATCACTATTTAGATACACCACAGTTCAAAATATAACATAAATCGTTATTAAAAACTATATACTACCTAGGTGATCAAAGTCTGGCTTTTTGTTTGGGAGATCGGGTAACAATGCCCGAAAATTCATTATTGCATGAAATTATACTCGCTTTTAACCTGCGATGGATTGCGCAGTATATGTGAAGCCTTTGTGCAGCTTCTACTCTGCATTCTCCGCTTGCCTTCTAGTTTTAGAAAAATTTGTGATTCCAGAAGCCAATTTCAGTTAGAGCGGTTTTCAGCTGAATGCAATAAAACCAAAACCAAAGTAATCACTTTAGCCAATCACAAAGGACAGAGGCAGTCCCGTGAACCAATCAAAACTCGAAGTAATTACATGTAGCTGACCCAAAGCGCGGGAAAACGCGTGCGAGCGAGTCATGATTGGTTTTGAATTTACTTCTAATTGGATGAAAAAGTGGCGCGAGATTTTTAAGCCAATCGTGTGGTGTAGTAAGTGCAAAGCCAATTACTTTTCGACACTCAAGTGAAAACCGCTCTGATATATGGCATTGCATTTGGCAGTATAGTTTTACAATTATTACGAGTTATGGGTGATTTAATTTTAAGGGCATGAAATTAAATATCATTAACTTACGTTACAACTACTACTTGCATACAACTACATTTACTGGCAGTAGAATCTACAGCATGGAATCATATTAAATTGATATTACATTGTCTACTATGGTATAGAGGGTTTTCACATGATGTCACGGTAGCCATGTTGGTGTCCCAAACCAAACCTGTACACAATTTCTTTTGCTCCAATAAATTTGCATGGCTGCTGGCCACGTGAGTGAAAACGCTCTATACCGGATTAATACAAAATTCTTAGAATAAAATTTAAATGCATGCAATTTGTATAAGTAATCAAATGATTTCGAGTGCAGTTTGGAATAAGAAAGCACGAGTAAATATTTCAATGACTAAAAAATATTGCACGAGCCCATAGCAGTCTTTCAAAAATTTACGATCGCTTATTTATTCCAAATTGCAGCCCGAAAAATCATTTGATTACTTGTTAATAATATAAATGCCATTTAATTTCAACTTTAACTTTTTGCACACAATTTCAACCCAGTTTCTACACTGTTTGGAATCAATTGATTTGCTCTAAGCCAATTATGTTCATAATTGCGTTGCATCATATCGCATGACATTTGAATTAATCACGTGGGATTACAATCAATTGCTTGGAATTTCATTTAATTGCACAACAGTAAATTAACACTGATGCTGATTTCATTTCGCCGTCAGTTTCAAAGTGTAGACTATTCTTTATCTCATTCACGAGCGTAATAGGACACGTTTCTCTTTATTCAATTGTTGAAATTTCGAAGCTTGAAATTACCAAGTATCTTCAGAAGCCAGAAANTTTAACTTTTTGCACACAATTTCAACCCAGTTTCTACACTGTTTGGAATCAATTGATTTGCTCTAAGCCAATCAGCATGTTGGAATTGTTTTGCTTGTATATCATTATGTTCATAATTGCGTTGCATCATATCGCATGACATTTGAATTAATCACGTTTAATTGCACGACAGTAAATTAACACTGATGCTGATTTCATTTCGCCGTCAGTTTCAAAGTGTAGACTATTTTTTATCTCATTCACGAGCTTAATAGAACACGTTTCTCTTTATTCAATTGTTAAAATTTCGAAGCTTGAAATTACCAAGTATCTTCAGAAGCCAGAAAAAAGCTATACTAAGATTCAGAAATACCATTTCGGTTAGATTTCAAAGTAGACCATTTTTCAATGAATTCCGTAAAACCAACAAAACCGTATACAACTTGATGGCTGTACTTCATTATAGTTTTATTCTCACAGTTTAAAGATTAATTACGTGGTTCATCCTCGGTGTAAGAAACTGTCGTAAAATTCACAGAGACGCAAATAAAACAAACTACAAAAACTTAAAACAACATAAAAATGGCTCAAAAACAAAGAAACACTTCACAAGTTTCTACACCGAGGTACACTGTATGGTGCACTATTAGCAGTAACACCGACCTTGTTTTGGGTTAATTTAATAAAATAATTTGTTTCTTAATGCAAAATTGGGAATTTAATTTTCGATAATTTTCAGTGGGCTGGTTCGCACTTAATGTTTTGTCGTGATTATTGTGAATCAAACTCAGCACCCAAACAACAACAACAACAACAACAACAACAACAATAATAATAATAGCAAAAAACTCATTAATCACCGGCTTGAATTTGATTTGATTTAAACATTCACTAAAGAGCGGTTTTCGAACCAAAGTCAAATCAGTGGCAGAGGCTTATCGCAACAAACTCCGCAATAAAACAGTGAAAACAAATCGGAAATACACGTGACCGGCCCCAAGTGCGGGAAAACGAGCGTGACCAAGTCACATTTAAGTTTGTATCACCCTGATTGTACGAAAGGGTGGCGTGACTATTTTAGACCAATTATCGAGTGTAGTAAAGAAAACCCGATGTAAGTCTGCAGTACTTTCGAGTCCCTGCTCTCTCTGCACACTATTGTGAACGACTAATAGTGACAAACGCATATCTGTCACGCCTTACGTCTCTTCTTTCATCTGTTTAATTTTTTAAGAGCTGTTTCACAATTATTTTTGAATTTTTACCCATTCAGTTTACTTAAGCTGTTGCATCGCTTTGAAGTTGGTTCATCCCGCAACGTGCATTCACGTAAACCAATCAGCGTAAAGGCATTTCCTTCCTAAACAATCACCGCAAAACGCGTCTTGGCGTCAGCAACTCTTCCCCCGCTTCTAATCAGTTGCATGTTTCTTGTACCTTTTAACACCGCAGTTATTTCCCTTCGGTTTGAATTTATTACTTTACTGCCACAATTGGAAAACTACTATTATTCTTAATTCAGTAGATCTCAAGATATCTTAAAAATTTACTTCCTGTTGGTAAATTATCGCACTGTTGCACGTTGCTTTCTATTCATCAATTTAAATTTCACATTCCTGTCATTCCACACGAGAAAATTTTATTCATCCAAAATAATAATGATAAAAAAATCACTTTCCGTGATTTTCGTTGCAAGCCATATGCAAAGAAGATGTCCGTTGCCAAAACATTTGTCATCAGAAACCTTTCCGATACAACCGCAGGTTTTTCCTAATTCAAGAAAGATGTTCACTTTTTTCGAGTTTCTCTCCTTTTGAGATTATCAACACAAACAAATTAACTGGAAGCCTTTAAATTGGATTATCTAGAAGAGATTACAAATCGTCTCAAAACAGGAATAAAGTTCATACGTATCTTCTGATTTCTAGAGAAAGGCATGCACTCATTCAAACGCCGATATTTTTCTTTTTAGAGGCATATGAATTCGCAATAAATTTGCAACAGGGATTGTAACCGGGGATTTGTTCTCCCTGGGTTTATTTCAACCCTAAAATCCTCCGGTGGGGTATTACCAGAGGTTTGCCAGTTTCTCACCGAATGGTCGTTCTAATTGTGCGTGTTAATACCTCTTATACTGTGCTTTTACTTCAGCAAACTTACTTGCTAAAAGGTTTCCCTTTGTCACTCTAGCTTTTAAAAACACAGGCAAACAGCACTGAAATGATCTCATTAAAAATTACACAATATTTCTTATAAACTAATCGAATTAAATATCTGGAATTTCGTGGCAAGAAGTTAGAAAAGACCAGCTTTCTTTCTGAGGTTTGTCTTCTTCCACATTGGCAGAGCATCAAATGCGCTTCTGGTCATATTAAACGCTTTCTGCAAAGTGGAAAATATAGATATGTTGTTACCGTCGCTCGCTCCTTTCTTAAACAAACAAACAATCAATCAATCAATCAAAGAAAGAAACAGTTGATCGATGGAACGAACGAACGTAACGTAACGTTCATAACGAACGCACGAAAGTAACCAACGAACTAACGAGTCAGCGAACGAACGTTCGTAACGAACGAACGAACCAGCAAATAAACGCTAGAACGTAACGAAAAAACGAATCAGCGAACGAACACACTAACGTAACCAACCAACAAACGAACCAACGAACGAAAGGAGAAAGAACCTTAACGTAGGCATAAAAAGAAAAACACTGTCGAGCTTTTTACCTGAAAATCGTCAGCATTTAGATACACTTCAAGTCTGGACGGATCAACTCCTTCAGGGGGAGGTTTTTGTTTCAATTCTTCCAGGGTATATTCCGTCCTAGAATTCAAAATACATAATTTGTACAGTCGAGCTACGGCCACTAACATACCCCACCTCGAAAGGTAAAAGGTAAAGTCTGCGTCAGGCCAGTGGACCATGCAGCCGGAGCTTATTCCGGTTTCTATAGCATGAAGCGACTAGGAGTATTTCAACCCCCCTGGATGGGATGCAAGTGCATTGCAGGGTTAGCCCCAGCATTACCTTCACCGGTACCCATTTACACAGTCGGGTGGAGAGAGGCACTGTACTCACAGTGCCTGGCCTGAGAACACACCGCAATGACCAAGTACGCTAGCTACACCAATTACAATTGAATAGCGTGCACTAATTTAAATCACTTTATCGTCATAAACATAGATGCCCGACAAAACCCTTTTCTGAATTTTACAAACCTGGAGAGCTTGGCAAGTTCTGTTTCCACCTTCAACGTATCGCCGTCAAGTCGACCAGTCTAAACAAAATCAAAGCAAATGCAACAAGAAAATTTCAGGGCTTTTCTACAAAACAATATCGTTTGAAGTGGAAGAGTGTTGTGTTTACAATAAGAATTGCGAAGGGGCCTGGGAAAAAGGGCTTCAATGGGATTTAAAGTCATGGCCTCCGACCAACTGATTCGATGGTCTGGGAACTGAATCTTTGCGTTAAAGAATTTCGGATTAACCTACCGCTCGGTTTATTTTGGCCACATCAGGCCGATCTTCCCAGAATGGGAAAAGATTCTTGAAAGACTTCGGTTCCAAACCAGCAAACACAATAAATACTTGCGAAAAGTCACGCTTCAACTCTACAAAAAAACAACAACAACAACAAATAATAAGTGAAAACTGAATTTGATTTCTCAACGTGATTCCGTTGCGTGACCTCCCCCTCCCCCTTGTTATCCCATGGGAGGATAAAATTCAACCCCAAAACTAGAACTAGATTCCCGTTGTAAGTTAATAAACTTGTAACAAAGTATCCAAACCTCCCAATTATGCCCCCTCGCCGCCCAGGTAGCACATCATTCAACCACAACATGTAAACCCCGCCGTTAACAACATACAAATGAATGAAGAATCTTAGATCTCTGAATCTCGATACATCTCCAGGTTAAAGGATATTACCCCTTTCCCATAATCAAAGCAACACTTCATTCAAACCTCGCTAGTATCTCCCCAGAATCCCAGTTCATCTCCCTGTCCGGATTCCCTAGATATTAGCAGATCATTTAAGCGCTACAAGTACCTGCCCCATTCCTTAACTTTCAGTTATCCCGCCTTCCCTCGAGAAAGTAACACCTTGGCTTAGGGTGCAGTAGCCCACGTGTAGCCGGACCCACACCCCGAGGAAAAACGGGCTGTTCTTCCACCTGGGGCGGGGTGGGTACGGCTTCACGTAGACTAAGGTGCAGCAGAAGCTTATACCTTCAGCATAAGACTTGATCGTCTCCATTGCCAGTCGTCTGTCATTACTCCACCTTGTCTCCGCGGAGCCTGTGGTAGAGGCTCTGGACTCTGAATCTTCATCACTCTGCGGCCACCAACCATGCCAGAGGTATATCACATGAACAGCATCCACCATGAACAGGGCTAAAGATGAAAAAAAGTAAATATCTCCATCGACCACGAGGGTAAAGTAAGCTGTGGTCAAGATCCAAAACAGTTACAAATAATGATATCTAAAAATACTGGCAACATTGACTCCCGACGCTTATTGCTTTGGCTTAGTGTAAGTTGATCTTCATAAGACTAAAACATTTTTTGTTTGCAATTTCTTTCGCAAGACAATGAACATTTAATTATTACCTGGCATTTAATTCTTACCTGGCTGATCAGCCGTATATAGTTGTGATTGTAGAATCGGATAAGGCGTGGTGTGTTCTGATCTACCCGGGTTCAGCACTTCAGTAGCCTCAAACGAACCACTTGTACTCCTTAAGTTGAAAACGCGCATCGTATGTTCGTGTTTCTTTGAATCTGGAAAAAAAATGGATGCACAAACATGATAGAGCGGGTTTTTTCAGTGTCGAAAAGTCATTGATTTTGCATTACTTCGCTACACGACTGGCTTTAAAAAGAGGCGCCACTTTTTTCACCCAATCAGAAGTAAAACCAAACCCAATTGTGACTCTCTCGCACACGTTTTCCCGCGCTCCGCGTCAGCTACATGTAATTACTTCAAGTTTTGATTGGTTCATTGGATTGTCTGTGCCTTTTGTCATTGGCTAGAGTGATTACTTTTAAGTTGGTTTTGGTTTGACGACACTAAATTGAAAACTGCTATAAAGAGTTAGTTATCATCTAGACTGACAGAAATATTGAGGAGCCAGGTATTGACTTTGGTGTAGCTTGCATATTGCGATAAAATAAAGAAATATTGTTAATACTTGCAAAAAGAACGGCAAAACTTCTTACTCAATATTGACTCAAGACTCATCTTTTACAAACAGAAAGGAGTTGCGATAACATGGTTGCCACAGACATCAGTTTTCAAAATTCCCCGACTTTTCACTGACTTTTCCCTGATAAAAATATAATTCCCCTTGAAGAATATTTTTTTCCCTGACCTTTTCCTGAACCGTGGAAACCCTGGATAACTCGCGCGTAAAATACACAAAATTGTACAACAATACAAACCTGCAGAAAGTGACGTAAAGTTTGCTTTTCCACCTAGAACGTTCCAAAAGTCTTTGCTTTCTTCTCCTTCAGAAACCTCTTTGGCTTTATATTCCTTGGAATATTGCTTATTAAACCTTTTTTCGGACAGGAAAAAAAAATGAGGGAAAAGGGAAAATGAGAGAAAATGAGGCACAAGGTTACTCGGATATGGCCCATTGACCAGTGGACTGAAAGCAAATGGGACTGGAGTTGAGCTTAGTGAGTCAGAGACCACACTTGCTCTCATGCTGATAGGTCTTAGTGAATTTTCGGATTGTCTACGCAAATTCCGACAGAGCAGCAAAATTATCGGAAACACTTCGGGAAATACGATAAACGTCTGTTAAGAGCGAAATTCGTTTCCTTGCCTAGAAAACGCTAAAACGCCAAGGTTTCAAACTTACCATTTTTTAAGTCTTTTTGCAGCACTAACAGCGACTTGTTTGGTAGAAGAAGGTGATTTGCACCCGTGCCAAGCGTGCAAGATAGATTTCTTGTTGTCTGCTACCACAAACGATGTCCGGGATCTCAGAGACGATGAACTGTAAAAACAAAAAGACAAAATATTGTCTTCAGCTCTTAGCATCGCATCAGCCATTCCAGGTGGACAGACGCACGGTAATATTGAATCTACTTGTTTTATATAATTAAGAAACAAAAAAGAGTGTTAGTGACGTCTTCTATGCGTCTGTCCTTCAATAGATCATATGTAAGAACCACTCAAAATGCGAGAATATTTACCAAATAAAGAAGCCTCAGCCGTGTGTTACACTGTTCTGAAACACGACAGGCATTTGAGAACACGAGAAAAAAAAAATTAGAAAACACGAGACGCAGGCGAGTGTTTTCTACATTTCTCGAGTGTTCTCAAATATCCGGAATGTTTTATCACAGTGTAATACACGGCTTAGGCTTCTTCATTTGCTTTAACATATAGAGGTAATGTGGCGTAAAACAATAGAACACGCTTTTTCTATGTTTTATATTCTGATAAAACATGGGTTTTTGACCAATCAGAGCGCACACAGGGTCCTATCTATATTCCAATTTGAGTTATTATATGGATAACCTCACCTTGCTGGTATCTGTAATAAATAGACCTCTTCAGGATGTTCATTTCGCACAATGAACAGTGATCCATCTCCTTGACGACAACATCAACAGCAACAACAAACAAACAAAAAACAAAACGAAACGAAACGAAGAAAGAAGCGTGTTAATTAATCGTCTTTATAAAATAGTACAGAAACACACAAAACGATGAACTTGTTGATGAACAATGTTTTGATGAATGAACCGGCCAGAAATAACTGGCTGAAATCTCGGGTAAAATACTTGAGCTAGGGAAGGCTAAACATTCCTCATCCAGCAATATGTCAGATAAAAATGAATGCAAGTTTAGAGGAGGCTTTAAGGTCGATTTTTACAACTTTTTTGTTTCTCCACCAATCAGTGAGCAAATGAGACAACGCACGTGCAATTTATCGAACGTCGCACTCAGACCCGACCCACACTACGCCGGAGGAATATAAAAACGGCGCCTTCACTCTGAAAACGCATCAAATTTTTTCCGTCCACACTACGCCAGAGAAATTTGAAAACGCACCAATCACCGGTCATTTTTTATTTGTGTTTGACGAAAACTTGGTCAGGGGAATCACATGATTATCGTGACGTCATCGCTTTCGAAAAGCTCCGTTTTCAAAATGTTCTTCGTCCACAATAACACGCAAAGTCGGCGTTTCCAAAAAAAGCTCCGTCTTCGTCACGAATTATTCAGCGTAGTGTGGACGAGGCCTTAGTTACTTTGATTCTCCGCCTACCCAGCTAACTCAAATTAAACTGACTAGCGTCGACGTTGCAATCAGACTGTAATTTACTGTATTATACATGCTCTTGAAAAAAATCTTTATTAACAAGTAAATTCGTACCTGTTTCCTCTTGAGAGTCTTTCCTACAAAGTAAACAAAAAGTAAAAACCAAAAATCCTCAATATTCGTTTCTAATGCGATAATGAAGTCAATTATGATATTATCTACTTATTTTTCACGTTTCAACACCTAGATAAAAGCAATTTTTTTTTAATCTATTGTTTTAGGACTTACTTTCCTAAGTGAACAACCATCTTTCCTTCAAACAATCTGGTGAAACAAGGAGGTTCCTTGCCTTGAGCGACCAGCACCTAAAAAGACAAAAAATTGAATATCTGGTTTTGACATTATAACGAGTTAGCCTTTCATGTTGTTTGTGTTTGTTTCGAAATTTGAACTTTAACCCGTGCGATTTTGGACAAAATATTGATCTAATTTCTCACTTGGTTGAACGAACGAGGAACAAAGGAACAGAAGAACAGAGGAACCGAGGAACCGGGAAACCGGAGAACCGGGGAACCGGGGAACCGGGGAACCGGAGAACCGGAGAACCGGGGAACCGGGGAACCGGGGAACCGGGGAACCGGAGAACCGGAGAACCGGAGAACCGGAGAACCGGAGAACCGGAGAACCGGAGAACCGGAGAACCGGAGAACCGGAGAACCGGAGAACCGGAGAACCGGGGAACAGAGGAACAGAGGAGCAGAGGAGCAGAGGAACAGAGGAACAGAAGAACAGAGAAACAGAGGAACAGAGGAACAGAAGTACAGAAGTACAAAAGTACAGAGGAACAGAGGAACAGAAGTACAGAGGCACAGAGCAGGGCAAACGAACAAGGGCACGAACGAACGAGCGAACGAACGGACGAATGAACGACCGAAGGAGCGAGCAAGTAAGCGAATAAACTAGAACAAAGTCATACCTGTGGTCCTTTATCAGAGTCCAATTCAACAGTCATCAGCGCGGCAGTTCCTTTCTCGTTCAGAGTGCTGTCTTTTCCTTGCCAGAAAAAGTAAGCGACTTTGTCACGGCCAACATCTTCGTAACGAGACTGTTTGCCTTTCAATGTCTTCACGCCTGTCAGTTTCACACAATACTTCCACCGCACCACGTAACCTAGCAACAAAGGAGTGTATTAATAAATGTAGATACTACAGTACTATAATATTTGGAAATGATCGAGATAGGGGGCTTGTTTGGGATGATGCATTCATAAATTTGCACAAGAGAGACAACTTGGAGCTGTTAAGAAATTAGTTAGGGACGAACTCGTGGACCATTCAAGCTAAGAAACGAAATACCGAACGCACACGAAGGCATTCGAGCACGCACAAACGAACGAAGCGAATGGCAAACGTCACTTCTCGGGAGACCTTAGTTCAACTCATCAGTCAAGCTTGTAAATAGCCAACTGGTCAGCCTCCCACAAGTTGGGATTTTTAAGCCTATTATGTTTAAAATATTCGTTTCGTTCAGTTTAAGTAGCATGCCTGAGAACTATCTACAGGTTTTGCTAAGTGCATTGACCACTATAAACGTTCGACAACATTTGTTGTAACATTCCCTCCTTACACATTTCTGAAAGGGAAAAATGAAATTTTCGAAAACGGACTTGCTGTCCAACAGACGTGTAAAGTAAAAGCGGTGAATTGGTACAGATAGCTACGCAATAGTGCTATCCATACAAAGCAAATTCATTTGTAGTAAAGAGTAATCTAATCCAGTAAGATTAGTTACAATAGAACACATGTATCGGCCGATTTTAGAGACGCGTTATATGAGATAGGGTGCTTTCTAGGTCCAAACGCAGCGCTAATTAGAGTAGCGCGCCTATCAGAAAGTCAAAGTTAAATCGAATCATTATGGTATGCAGTGGACCATAGTGTCTGTGTGGATACTTTTTCCACGAGCAAGGATTGCCGGTAAAATGAGTAACATTGCTGCATACACAGTGAAACCTTCTGTCAGTAGGTACTCTTTGGGCTGCTTGGGAACTCTATTTTTACGGTTAGCCTTACCGTCCACACTAATCCGTCATGAAAACGGAGCTCTTTGACAACGCTCTTCAAATCGGAGGAATCTGAAAACGCCGGCTTTGCGTTTTAGTTAGGAGGAAAAACATTTTGAAAACGGAGCTCTTCCGAAAACGATCACGTCACGATAATCAAGTGATTTCCCTGACCGAGTTTTCCTCAAACACAAATCCAAAATGACCGCTGATTGTTGCGTTTTCAAATTTCTCCGGCGTAGTGTGGACGGAAAACATTTGATGCGTTTTCAGAGTGAAAACGCCGTTTTCAAATTTCTCCGGCGTAGTGTGGATGGGGCCTAAGTGTTCGTGAGAGGTGTCCGTCAGAGATGCTCAACCGTACTTAAAGCTCTTTAAAAGGGGAAGGGGGGAGGGCATTACCCCCCCCCCGGAAACATAGATAAAAGTGAATAAGGAAGGGGGTGCGTCAACTTACCTTCTGACGAGAAGAAATGACCATATTCCTCTTCCGGGAGCAGCTGATACGAATATTCTTTGACATGCCAGATTTTCATGGAAATCGACGAGACAATAAACCGTCTTCCTTCTTCATCGAAGCTGCCTGTGCCACGCCCCACATCAAAACCTGAAGATTAACATATCAACGTTAAAACCTTTTTGAAAAGATTCCCAGGGAATGGGTTGGAGCGGTATGCGAGAGCGAGAAAACGCGCGCATGGCTGACAAAGTCCACTTTGCGCGCGTGTCGTGCAGCTCCAACTCGCGCCTCCCGTGCTACTATTACTCGAGCGCCCACTATTCAGGGGAACATTAAGCACCCTTTCCCCTAGCCTTCAACCAACAAGACAGAAAGCCTTGCAAGATCGCAATAACTTAAAGAGGTTCAATACTCAATAAGCTGAATGACCATCGCAGTTGCGTACACAACTGAGGTAGTTGTGAATCAAAATATAGCCTGAAAAAATTCAGGGCGCATTACGTTTGACAAAGTTCGGTTGATTTCACCTGATGACCTTAATACAGCCCATCCAATATCCTTATTTGCCGCTTTAAATCCCACCAAATTAAAAACATGTGTCTACCTAATCAGCTGCTAAGTTGTCCCAACTACTTCTACAATAAATGTTTGGAGATAAGCTTGGAGAATTTGTTGGTATCGGACAACAAACCTTCAAGTATCAAGCTTGGTTCTGGAGGAGTCTCTATCAAGCTGGCCGGATCACATGGCTTCATCTCAAAGATGCTGTTTGGACGCTTCTGAAAGAATGTATGTGTGTTATCCTGTTAGAGCTATTTTGGTGGTGAAATATGTACGTTATACACCACAAAAGYGGGTTTGAGTGAGCTGTGCCAGAAACATCGTGGTATACTTTGCAAGAATCACGCTGGGTTTTCTGTGACGATTTAATTTTGATGATCTTTGGTGTTTTGTGCGTGATCTTCGGTTTGCTATGCGAGTGAGATCTTCGGCATGCCAGTTTGCAGTGCAAGTGTGATCTTGGGTTAAGAGTTTGCTGTGTTAGTACCTTGGGTCTGACACGCTAGTGTCACTTTGCGATAATTTTGAATTAGGGAGCTTAGGTAAACTATGCACCAGAGAATGGGTTTGCTGTGCAAGTATAACCAGGTAGGCAATCTGAAAGCAATTTTCGGACACTTTCAGTCTCATTTGCATGTGTACAGCCGCCCCCTGCTGAAACATACAGTTAAAGAAAATTTACACCAACAAAACACGAACTAGACTGAAACTTCAGTGAAAATTATAGTTTCACTGCACCCTCAAGGTTTTGAGATGCACCGACGAGAGTAAACACAGCTCCTATGAAGCCTCGAGTTGTGTCTCAACAGTAAAGTTCGCGCCATAAAGGAAACTAAGAGCTTTGGAGCTCAAAGTGGCTTAACGGTAAGACCTTCAAAAGAATCTTGTTCTAGTACCTTAATCACAGAATACACTGTTAACTGTAAATATGTCGGACGCTTGAAATGTCGGACGATTTTACTTGCCGACACTTTTTTCTTCTGAAATCCTCAGTGGAAAAAAGATGGCGGCCGTACATTTTACCACAATACCGTAAGAACCTTACAGTGTGTGTGAGTGTGTGCTAGGTTTGAAGATGTTAGAACTTTTCTGTACGTTTTTATGAGTGTTGTTAAAGTTTTCGTGTGCTGAGAATTATGGGAAAATGTACCAGTCGCCATCTTTTATCCCTAAGGATACGGATTAAAATCGTCCGAAATTGTTGGAAGCAATTTCAGTATTTCTAAATAATATGAGTGCCCTAACAAACATGGCTACCTCATACCTTCTTGCCACGCGTTCTTAAATCCCCGCTTACATCAGGAACCTGACGCTTGTGTTAGTACAGGGGATTAGCAGATGAAAGAGTTAAAAGTAAATTGAAAGAGTTAGATAAACATTGATAGAGTTTTGTTATTTGGAAATTAGCGTAGTAATTAAAAGCTTTAAAAGCATTAAAACATGAATAAATACAAGTAAAAAGCAGATTTATCGAGCGTATATCTGCCACAAAAGAGTATTTGCAATATGCATGAGACAAATTGTTAGTTCTTCATGTTGCACAGGCCATAGTTGTCAAGTCATTTGAAAAAGAAAGACTGTATAAAATTATAATTACATATGCATCAGATATTACTAACTTAGCTGATACAATACATATCTAATAATTCGTGAGAAAATCAGTGAAAATCGCTTGAAATTATTTCACAACTGATTATGCGCCATTACTGTACATCAGTTGTTAACATAGATAGTTTAAACGATTAGCAAGAAGATTATAATTCTCCAAACGACAACTTTTTGTCCATTTATACTCCCGGGTAGAGAGAAAAACCGTGCTTGCCAACGACTATATCAAAGTCTTAAGCACTAACCCTTGAAATTTAACTTCCAAGAAAATTTCTCATTCCCGTTAAATTAAATTACCAAAAACTGGAGCTGAACTTTGTATGAAGAGCAATTGTGAAGAAGTGGGAGGCCCCACGGTGAAGTGAGAGGTAGATAATTAAAAAAGGTCAACTCAAGACTATGAGTAGTCCCTCTTTTGCTTAGTCCGTCGTACGTGGCACGAAAGAAAAACGCAAGAAAAAAAAAGACCTTGCGAACCTGAGAACGAGAAGGGCGCGAAAGCGAAAACTTCTCGTCCCTAGGATTTCGCGCGGCCATTTTTTCTCGCGGTTTTCTTTCGCGTCACGCTCGACGAACTAAGCAAAAGAGGGACTAATCGTAGGCTTGGTCAACTTTTCAAGAATGAAAATAAGGCCCTATCTGTCTTCTTACCTCGGAGAGATCGGTGAAACTCCCACTGATAGGTTGTTTAACAAAATCCTGGGTGTAATCCACGTTATGGTCCGGCCAATCAATGAACTTTTCTCTGAAGAGCACCGTCTCTGCGCGCGCAGTCATGCGGCCAAACAGAGCCCACGAAGGCCTGTTGACTTCTGTCGTCTTGGGCAGACCGTCCGTTCTAGTTTTGGGGTCTATTGGGCTGATGGTACTCTTATACTTGAATGGTCCTTTAAAGAGATCTTGTGCAAGGGCTAAACCCTTTGTTCGAGCCAGGCTATGACAGTTTCTACCAAGCCAAAGGTATACCTCGGTTCCAAAGTCAACAACATAAGCCTTCAAATAAAGAAAATCAGAAAATAAATTAGTTAGATATATGATTACCTAAAACAGCCCCCCCGCGCCCCTGTTTCCCAGGGCCGGATTGTTTAAAGCTCAATTAAGCTAACCCAGGATTAGCGAGAATTTTGATCTGAATTTTGTAACTTTTCGGGGAGGTTTTCTGTTTATATTAATTTTCCTTCAGTTTTGTCTTGAGTCTGAATAAACTCAAACTACACAAAAATATGCAGAGAAAAACATCCTTATACGATAAAAGTTAATACCTTCAGTTAACTTTTAACTGAAGGTATCATTATTTTTTTTCAGTTAACTTTGCAGTTAGCGCTAACCGGTTCTCGAACAACCAGGCCCGTAATGATAACTGCAACAAGCCTATGAAGTATACAGCCTGACAGATAACCATTTGCGAAAACAGCATCCCCCCCCCCCCCCTCTCCAAAGAAGGATAAATAAAACAAACCTGTGAATTATCCATCAAATTCGCACTAAGAATACGGCCTGACATATCATCACGTATTACCAGTTCCGGGGGGTCAGATGTACAGTTGACTCTGTACAGTACGTTGGTCTTTATCAAGCCTTTTTCGTGCTCTTCGTCTGAAGGAAAATCGTTGGCATCTGAAATAAATAGCAGGTTGTTAGTTGCCATGGATATAAAGTATTTTGAAAGTAAGTTATTTTGCGATTAAACTATATTTATGTAGCCACCAGTTGAGGATTTTGGTCATAGGCAACTCAGGGTCTATTCAAGATGGATCTGGCGAGGCTTGCTCTAACCAGACGAAATCAGGTAAGTGGGGTTGGCAATCTCTGGTCACCCAGGTTGTGAGTCACTGGAGACTCGGGCTATGTTCACACTTGGTGCCCAAGAACCTTGCCCAAGTAGTATTCTTGCTGGGCACTAATGTGAACAAGCCATTTTACCATGTACTTAAACCAGAATTCAGGTACAGTGCCTGTGCCAGGGTATAAACAAGGTCTTGACCTTGAGCCCGGATGCTAGATGGTAGTTAGGTACTTGGAGTACCAGTGTATGAACGCAAAACAATTTTGTCCCAGTGCCCAGGCAACAGTGTTCGGGCAACAAGTGTTAAGGCAACCTAACACGAACCAATAAAACCGAGGGAGGGCCTTACTAGAGACAGCCACTTGTTTTCAGGTTGGGGGTTACCCTAACCCAGGTGGATCAGTTAAGCAGTTAAGTGAGAGAGGCAGGAAGGAGGAAGGGGAGAGTGTAAAAACTGTTTATGATGACAAATCAAGCAGCTACGTAAGACCTAACAAGCAGTCCCTCATTTCCCTTAGCATCTAGCCAGCGCTCTTGATGTGAACTTTCGCTCTTGATGTAAACTTTCCTTCTTTATGTAGCCCATATATAGGAGTCTCTCCCCCCCTCCCCACCGCCCCCCAACTACAGGATAAAATAGAGCAGATAAAACATGACCCACAGTCAAACAGGAAACTACAATGAAGTGCATTACCTGCCACATCAGCTTTGCCTCCCAGAGTCTTCCAAAAGAGTCTAGTTTGAGAATCATTTGTTTCAAGGTCTTGTTCAATGATGTGAACTTTTGTGGCACCACAGCCTAAGTCCTTCTGTTTAACAATTATAGTGGACACTTCCATTCCCTACCGGTCCAAGAAGATTTTAATCATTTATTGATCTGTAACCTTAAGTAGCGATGTCTTCCCCATTTCTCCCCTCCCCTCCACTGACAATGACAGCGCTAAGGAGAAGTCTTCCCTTGGCAGATAAGGCCATGGGGACATACCGTATACTTAAAATCAGTGAAGGTTCTATATTTTCTAGGTAGCCCTTAGTTCATTCTTGTCATCTTGTTTTGTAAATAACCAACTGGTCTGCCCAACCTGCCAACTGGGAATCTTAACTTTGACTTAATGTGACTTTCATTGGAAGTGTCTGTTCAGCCACAAATTACAGAACTCGGCAAACTGCAATCTTTATCACAAGCCAGTGGCAGATTTGGGGGAGGGGTGCAGGAGCCTTAGCCCCTCCTCCCTCCCTCCCTCCCTCCCTCCCTCCCTTGAAGTGGAATAATTTCACAACTTGTTATTCTAAACCTTTTGGTGAAAATGACATCTCATGCAGAGAACCTATAGATTATTAATTCCTGGAGATATAACCCTCACCCATATTAGTTTGCTAGGGTGTGAACTTATGCTCTCATTGCAACTGATAGGCCACCCCTCTCTTCATGTTTCTGTTGCCACACCCTCAGACCAATATTCCCCAGTATGGCCCTTGCACCTGGTTAATAAGAAGTTAGTACCTCACCTTAGCTTTTTTCATGATACTGGCATCCTTTCCATTCCACAAATGGAGCTCTTTTGGAGTCACCAACACAAACACGTCACCTGAATTCAGTGAATTGACTGAAGGTTCCACTAGTCTTGTTTGGATGTGCCTTGAACCTAAAAAAGGTACAATTGAGAAGAGAGACAATCTGCTTATTAATACTCTGCTATAAACAGACCGAGTCTCCCTGCCTCCTGTACAGGTAACCAAATCTCCCAGCTATTGAAGGAAACTGCTTAAAAGTCCATTTTTCACACATATTTTGGCTGATTTTTGGTATTTTGGGGGGAAATTCTGAGATTTTTGATGTATTTTTGTGGTTGAATTGGGGGAGCTCTACCTCTAACAACATTTTCGTAGGGTTGAGGATTTTCAGGTAAAAATGGCGACCTCCCAGTTTTAATTCTTCTTATTTGCTTATCTGGCATCTCTGTATGTCAATTATAAAATTAAGATGAGCAGATTCACCAAATTAAGTCTGAGTCAGAGTAAATGAGGCCGGAAGAAAATGTATGGTCAAGATATCTGCAATGTAACAGTTAGTATTTTCTTTTTCTTTTCCAAACCAAACCTTAATAAAACCCCTTGTAATGTCTGAGAGGTTCACCTGAATTACTTCATAGCATAAGCATGCAATGCATGCAAAGATTTCAGCTACAGAAGAACCTTGTTTATCTGGTCACCAACCGACCACAAAAACATGGCTGTATTAATGTTGTGGCTGTATTAACAGGGTTCTTTAAATAAGAAAAAGACTGACTGATCTTTCGTTCGGCCAAGAATAAAGGGGCTGTAATAACAAGGTGGCCAGATTAATGGGGTGGCCGTAAAGTGGGGTTTCGTGTGCATGTCACTGATAGTACTTATTTTATATTTTTGAAGCTGACAAATGCAAACCTTTGATTTGTAACAACATGACAGGTAGAAATCCTCCAAAGTCTTTGATCTCGGTGCTAACTCCAGAGGAGTCTTTAGCTGTTTTCCTCAAGGCAGTGCTTGCAGCAGCCAGATCCTCTGTGCTTGACAGGCCAGCCATAGCTTCATCAGTAAAAGCTTTCTCTTTTTCTGAAAAGTAGAAATTTTATTCACCAAATATTAAAATTGAAAAATGTTCACTAGGCACTAACAGCTTTTCTTTCAAATGTTCCAAACAGGAGGGTAACAAGTAATACAACATACATGTATGTAGTCATAAAAGTACAACTGAACAATAAATCCACCAATTTGTTCCAGAGGCAAGTCTGCAGGCACATGTGAGTATTTCTGGATCAGAATTTCGGAGTTGAACAACTTATCATTTAATTAATTAATCAAGCTTACTTTTCTTTCCAGCAAGTGAGGGTTTCTCATCCGCTCGGATCCTAAGAATCTGAAAAAACAAATTTAACAATAAAACCAAATGCCACTATAAATAATAGTAATTATACAAACCCGCAACGTCACACAATAACCATTCGTGCTCTTCTAACTTCTTTAGGTTAAGGCAGTTCACAACTAACAGTCTGTAATTTGTTCAGGTTGAAAAAGAGTCTCAACATTCTGTGACCTTGATTACATTTTAATGAATACAATACAATTGGGGTACCATTCAGAAGCTAGCTTAGAACACACAGGAGTAGCTAGAGGTCCTTTGCTGCTGCCCTACACCCAGCAGGAGAACGAGTAGTACGTAATTATTAAAGGAGCTCAGTCACTGTATTTTGCATTATTTTGGCCACTTACAAAATAACCTTTTAATTGTTTACTAACTAAGATAGAAAAGCACTCAGGAGATACTACTACACCATAAAGTAACAAGGATGGTTTAGGATGGAGAAGATTAATTAATACGGATTACAAAATGACGAACTTAAAAACTTTAGGCTAAACTTTTCAAGATGTGCGAGCCATGACATAGCCCCTTTAAGTACTCTTGGTGGACCTGCACAAATTCACAATATATGATTCAATGATTCCTCATTGTTTACCAACAAGACAGACAACTTGTAATCTGAGTAAATGCAAAGGCAGATTTGGGGGGAGGGGAATAGATTGGGTGGCTAGCCACCCCCCTTTGGGAGAAGCAAAAAAGTAACAAAACTGAAATAAATTGTGACAATATATTATGGCAGAAATGAAGACAAAACCCAGTAAAGGTACCTACTGTAAAATGTAATTTCTACTTTGTGGTATTGCTAGTATTTCTAGTGTAGCAGCTTTCAACTAAATTTCAATTTTCAAATTGAAACATTTTGTGTGCATGCCCAGGGACGGTGGAGTCGGGGGGGCTAGATGGGCTTTAGCCCCCCCCCCCCCCCCCCNCAGTAAATTTGCAATTCTCAGTCTTCGAAAGCTCGCCAAAGATTTTCCCTCCCGCTTGCTACTTCAGGGACGGCGGAGCTGGGGGGGCTGTAGGGGATTTACCCCAATATTAGCAAAACAATACATAAAATAACAATTTTACAAATATTTCCAGACCCCCTTCAACTTAGCACCTCTGGCACTCGCTTGTAAGCCCCCCAATTCAAAATATGCTCTGCCATTCCTGATGCCCTATTGATTCTGCAACCCCAAGGTACCAATCCTACCCCCTTGAAAAATCCTAGATTTTCCCCTTGACATAATGTAGTTACACCTGCCAATGCTACTGCATATTAACTTACATCTGTTTCAGTTCTAAGGTCCTCTCTATTCTGTCTCTGGCGTAAAGGGTTGCTACTGGCTGCATGGCGTCTGGCTGGCTTGATTTTTCTTCTCTGGTCTGAAAAGGCCTTTAAGCTGAAAACAGCAGTTTTAAATCCAGTGAGCAGAGTGTATACCTCCAAAATACTCAAAGTGTGTATAGTTCAAATATTATGCAGTACAGTACGATACGATACGATTCGATATGATATGATACTTTATTTAACGCTGGGTTTACTCTTAGCTAATCAGCTACACGTAGTTTACAGGTAATCCAGGGCCCTAGTATATTTGAAAAATTAAAATTAAAAATGTACAATAATTGATCATACAAACTGTTCAATAAATTCCGATATCAGTCAAACTTAAGCGATCAAATTTTGCTGTTCACATCATTAGTGCTTACTTTAGTTCTAAAGTTCTTTTTAAACTGAAAGTTTTCTAACTAACATCAGTCAGGGGTTTCATTAAATAGATGTTTTCAGCAGGAAGGCAACTGGTTTTCACAGCTGGGGAAAACCTTTTGAATTGCACTTCTTTAAAAGAAGAACTTTCCTCTCAAAGGTCAAACCAGGCAGGCAAAATCGTCCTCACAGCCCGTCAATTGCCCTGTTGCCAGCCTTTATTAAAACCCCTGATGACATTAGGGAGTTTAAGGAAATCACTACGGCTGGTGCTACTACGGCTGCCGTGACTGAAAAGGTCTGGGGAGAGTACGTCTCAGCGGTCTGCCAAATTTTAAGTTTAGCAAGTAAAGAGCAATATAAAGATGACAGAAAGCTAAGGAGTTCAAAATCTCTTTTATTTAGTTTCTCACAGCCAAATGGCTTCGCTCAAAGGATGATGGCCGCGTTATTTGCCTTCCTAGGACGAGCAGATTATTTCTGAGCAAAAGCGAATGCCATACACTTTGTACCATAACAATTTGATGGATGAAATATATAATTTCAGAGACAAATATCTCAAAGAATATTGAGTGAAGAACACAAATATATCAATGCTCAAGGAAGCAAAATAGCATCGTATGGTTATCGAGATATAAAATATCTTCACTAAACCTTCAAAGCTAACTTAACCGAAGAAAAACAACCTCGTGCTCAGCACGAATATTTCACTTGACTCACTTCGCCATTCCAACACCTTTGCCAAAACTTATCGTAAAATTCAGGATACGGATTTACAAGCTTATGACAGGCAGCCTTGACACAATCTTTGACTTAAATTGACTTTAAAGGATATGGTGTCCAATGGAATTCTTAAAATGCCGAGATGTCTGTTGAAAAGGGCCAGAGAAGTGAAATAAACCTGACGTAGTAGCCACTACGGCAAAACATCCTGACTCACGTAGTCAGATTTCACGCTACGGCTGGATGCAACCGATGTACATGCGCAGTGTCTCATGTTGGGGGAAATTTACTTCCGGCAGCCGTATCAGCACCAGCCGTAGCGATTTGCTTAAAGTCCCTATTTATTATCAATGCAGAGATTTAAGAAGTGTCAAATTATTTAATTATTCAATCTACATTAAGAGAGCTGTCTACATACTTGGAAGAGATGAAAGGATCCTCTGCATTTTCCTCCTCACCAAAGGTGAATGACTTTGGTCTCTCTTCATCTTCTTTGATAAGTTTTTTTGTTCTGATGTCTTCCGATGTGTATGACAGAGGTCTGTCAGTGGATAAGCGAGACTTGATATTCCCATCAACTTTCTCAACACCTTTATCTGGTTCATCTCGTTCCTCATCATCTTCCTCCAGCTCTTCTTTTTCTTTGTCATTTTCACTTTCCGAACTCAAGAAGTCTTGATCATCGTCGTCACTTTGATCATCAATTTCATCTTTGACTTGTTTTTCAGCATTCATTTCAGATTCACTTTCAGTGTCACTTTCCTTGGCCGATGTTTCCACAGTTTCCATTGACTCTTGTTTCTTGATGACTTTATCATCTCCACTTAATGCACTGTCAGCAGCTTCATCAGTGAAGGAATCTCTCTGAGGTGCACTCTCTAACGAAGCCGACTCATCTTGAACCACTTTGTCTTTGAAAGGAATTGGTTGAGCTGGCCCTTCATTTAATTCACTGCCAAGTGTTGGTAAAATATCGAGCTCCTTACTCAAACGCTTGTCAAGCTCGTCATCTGTTCCACAACCTTCAGGCTTTCCGCAAGGGCCAAACTGCTGGGTTTCACTTTCATCAGAGACAGTCCCACTCTCAGTTGATTTTGTCTCTTCTGACTCTTTCCTTCCTTTCTTTGCCTTTCCTGTTGGCTGTTTGGGAGAATCACTACCCTCTGAACCAAACGTCTTGGCAATATCAGATGCCAGACTTTTGATTTCTTCAGCAGTCTGAGGACTCTCACTTACAAACTCATCAGTCATCTGTCGTCGACTGGCCATGAGGGCTTTCATATCATCACTAGTGCTTAACTTCTTCTTAAGCTTGGGTTTGCTTAAAACTCTTGGCTCTGATTCCTTCTCTTTGCCTTGAAACCTGCTCTTGATGTTGTCCAGTTTTCCAAATTGTTCCCCTTCTTCAAATTCGAGCTGTTTGGAAGCTTGTTCTTTCTTTTGCTCTAAATATCTGCTTTTGATGTCTTTCACTTTTGGAATCATCTGAATTTCTTCGTCCAGAGGTGACGATTTGGGTACTGGCTCTTCTTCCTTCTCATGCAATTTTTTTCTCAAATCGGCCAGTTTAGGGACATATTCAAGGTTATCGTCAGCAATGGTTGGTTTCAAAGGTGCATCTTGACTTCTCGCAGTCATCAAATTTCTCTTGATGTCAGAAACTCCTTGACTGAATGTGTAATCCTCACCAGAACTGACTGGCATGGGGCGTGTTGCTTCAGGACTTGAGGGTGACTCATCTGAAGACATCTTTTGTTCAGGTTGAGCTGGTGTACTAGTAACTGGCGACTTTGGAGGCTCTCCATCACTCAAGGATGACATGGATGATCGCACAGATGCTGTCCCCATACCGTCAGCCTCACTTCCACTCGTGAAGCGCTTGCGTGACTGCATGTATTTCCACTCCTGTTCTCTCTCATAGTCTTCTTGTGTTGTCAGGTCAATTGGCTTAGGTAAATCAAATCGAAGAGGATCATCAACCATATCTGTTGAGAATGTCCATTTCAACATGGTTGTACGTGCCCTTTCTAACTCAAGGTTTTTCTTATACTCCTTTAAGGGTCCTTGGATAGGAACTTTGTTCAATACGGCGACAGAGTCCCGATCAGCATCACTTAAAGAGGACCAGGAACGCTTGCTAGCATCAACTGAGTCTTCATCATCGGTCCTCCGTCGCCGTCGTCTCATGGCCACTTCAAATTCATCATCAAGGTCAGATTTTGAACGCATGAGACTGTAGGGATTTGGCTTCTTGAATTTTCTTGGGGTTGTAGAACGGTGTTCGAAGACTTGCTTCTCTTGTTCATCTTGAGGAAAGCGTGCTGATACCGTTGATTTCCACCTCCGCTGCCGCACCATTTGTAACCATTGTGGCTCCTTGGGTACTTCTCCTTCATCAATGACAGGTCTAAAATGGGTGATCCACGTGTCATCTCTCTTCACGGGTACATAAGGTTTATTGACACCCAGTGGCTTAGATGGTTCTTTCTGCGTCCACTGTTCCTTCAGTGACTTAACAGATTCAACATGACCTTCGTCAACACCCCTTTCTTCTTCTGGAGGCTCTGGTTCCTCAAATGTCTTCACCACACCTTTCTGAGGTTCTCCATTTCTTTCATCATCATCTTCATTCTCAGAAGGTGGAGGCGGCCACTGCTTTGAAAGGTGGCGTGGAGTAGGTTGTTCCTTTGAGTGTGGTATCTCCCTGCCTTTTCCTGATGCTGAGGTCAGGTAATCTTCTTTTATTCTTCTTACAGGTGAAGTGGACATAACCTCAGGTTGTTGGTCCATAGGATCGCGAGGAGACAATTCTATTTCATCATCGTCATCATTATCAACGTTGTATCCCTCTACAGCTGCAGCATACCGCTCTTTCCTTCTGTCGACCTCGGCACCCTGTGATCCTCGGCGAAGAGCAGATGCATAAGAGCCATAACCTGATTTCTTTCTCTCAATACCTTGCTGTGCATTGTGCTGTTCATTCTCTTTGTCAGTATCAATACCCTCACTATCTGCAGACAAAATTTCGGGGTCACTCGGTCTCCGTTCACGGATTTCCCTTTTGCTAAAGTCTGTTATAACTGCAGCTGACTTAGGAACCTCTTTAGATTGTTCAGCCATTTCTTTCTGTCTTTTCTTCTCACGCCTCTCTTGCCTTTTTTCTTCTCGAGTTAAAGCCCTTGAAAGCTCAGCTTCACTGTCAGTTGTTGATGATCGAGAGCGGCCTCCACCTGATTCATCAACCCCATTCATTGGTTTATTTTCATCATCAGTATCAAGGCTAAGTCTTCGCTGTTCCCGTCTCTTCCTTCTTGCTTCAATTCTAGAGATTCTTTCATCTGTTCCCTCAGACATGACTGAAGCGGCAATACTATTTTCAGTGAAACCTCACTTCAGTTTGGAAGCAAAATCCCAGTTGCCACAATGGATACTTGCTATTCAAGAGAAAAATCACTCATGCATGTATTGCCTAGTGTGACAAATATTTCTTGCTCTCCTCTGGACCTTGTTGTAAATTCCAGCTCGGCTGTTTCAAAAATTCTTCCGCAGCTTTTCACCGCTCATAATCCCTTGTTCTACGATAAATTCACTTGAGAAGCCTGTGTGGAGAAAGAAAGCAACCTCAGTGAACAGATTTCAGGAACAGATCACAGACCCAGATACCATCTGAGACTATAACAGTTCTAGAGAATTGTCACAAAAAATTACAATGTGCTGTGAATGAATTTCATAAGCCTAACTCCATTAATGGTCCAAAAAATCTGACAGGGTAATATTGCTAGTGATGTTAAGTTAACATGTAACCTCAGAAAATGCTTGCCTACTTTGCAATCTCTAGTATAATAAACACACCAAGACATCTTCTCACTGGAACTAACCGGACTCATTCAATACTGTTGTTATGACCTTTAGCTTATAAAATGGTGTGATTATACAGCTGAAAGAATGGAAATAATTTGCTTAACAATTACTCAGTTTGCAGCTCATTTCAGTGTCTGACATCCCTGCAAGTTTAACAATAATTTTAATTTAACTTGTCATATTTAGAATTTCTTGGCTCTAGGGAGATATATGCATTTCAAGACCAGAAACCTTGTTGACATGTAATTTAAGGAGCCTTAAAGAGTGAAAATGGAAAGATTGCATGACTGAGCTTACATGAGTGTTATCTTTGATCAAAGGCTCTAGACGGTGTTATTATTCAAAGCAGTAAAATGAGCAAGGCAAGAGTAAGCTGTGAGAATGATTAATTTTCCCACAGACATACATGTAATTTCCTAACAAAAAAAGTTGAAGACATGCAGAATTCAAGTTATATTGTGACAATCGATGGCTGGCAGGTAATCAATAAATGTGGAAACACCAAAGTTACAAGCTGTACATTACACAGTTTTTATTACTCTTTACAATCTGGTCAGGTGGATAAATTAAATTAAATTAGCTTTCATCTGTATATGCCTGCATGAATGCATGGAAATGAATAGCACTGTTGTCAATTCCTAAAACACCAACAGATTTAGAACTTTACAAACCCCATGGAAGAAAAACATTCTCTACCAAATTCTACCCAGTAAACAATTAAACAAAGCATACATGCATGCATGCAAAAGGAATTGCGTGATTCATTATACACACCCAAAGAAGAGAAGACAATAACAGAAGCCTCACAGAATGACATGAAAATTTGCATATCCTTCATATGGAGTGCCTTGTACCTTAGTTTATTCAAATTTTAATTAATTCTCCTCCTTTGAAGATTCATACACTGCAAATGAATTGCTTACAAAAAAGTCTGATGTTTAATTTTTAAAAAGAAAACATTTAAGTTGTAGATTTTCCAAACAGTTTTGACCACAGACAAACAGATCTACATGTATGATAACCAAACATGCATGCTTATCACATATTTCAAGAGGACAACAAAGGAGGATTGGCAAAACAAGGAAGAAAAATATAATAATTATAAAGAAACAAGATTACGACAGTGCATGGTTATGTAGCAATTATACTCAAATTATCCTTTTGTACAGTTCTAAGCTATTATTAATTTAGACATTTTGTCATTTTATAGTGTAGTGTTGTTTCCAGTTAATAAAAAGTGGCTTCATTGTTTCAGAACAGCTTGAAAAACTCTTTTTTAAACAAATTCAAAAAAAAATTAAAAAAATTAATATAAAGTATTATTTTATTACTTTTCAACATCTACCGTAACTTAATTTGAATGCCAGTGATCTACAGCCTTACACAGACGAAAAGAATTTTGAGTAGTAATATTAGCACTAAAAAAAAGATTGTGTCAGGTCAACTCAAATTGGCAAGTTTACCAAACATTTGAATCAAATAGTTAATATTACAATCATACTGCTAATCAATTATAAAAATAAAAATCCACCAATAAAACATTCAACATCTTATTCTATAACCTTGTATTTTATAGAGAGTTGGGTAACTGCTAATTCTCACATTGCCTTGATATCCGTAACTTGATATCTGTATCTGTAACTTTATTTCTATATCCAGGCTATTGGGAATACATGTAAATTTAAGGAAAACACTTGGGCTTTGATGACAACGAATGTGTTATTAGCCAGTTAACACACAGTTTTACTTCCATGACGAGACGTAAATCACTGCTAAGTAAAACACTGGTTAATTTTTTTTGTAATAACTGAAGATACTGTATGTTTACTAATTTTTTTTTTCTTCCATTCTTTTTGTCTTACAAACTGCATGTATAAGTTAACATCCCAAAACATTTTTTTATTAAAAAAAAAACAGAATGATTTACATTACACTTCTGGATGTGTTCTTAATAGAACCTAACCAGGTACACTGCAAGAGATTGATTGAAACAGATCTAGACAAGACAAATGAATTGACCAAAGTCTACAAATTTAAAATAAGAAGAATTGTACTAATCTATATAGCCATTACAAGAGGAATTTAGTAAACAATCAATTCAAACTTGGTTTCAAAAGCATGGGAACTTAAGTTTTATTGCTGTTTATCAGTCTCTAATTATCTTATTTAATCCACAATGTCAACAAAAGGAGGTGATATACTCAAAGTAGATGAAGAACAAGAGATTTGCATAATAATTATTTCACACAGAGTTTGGTTGTTAATCTCGGGAAAACATCACGGATTGCAAAACTGTGGACAAAATAATTTTTAGATGGTTTGACTTGTTTATACAACTCATGGTGCATCGGTGGATAAGTCAGATATCACTCCTGTGAAAAGTAACAGCATTAAATAAAAGTATAGTCCAAGTGCTTTTCAAAGAGTTATTGCATGGCACTAAGTCCTTGACAACAACAAATACATGTATCTGAGTCCGAACTCGGCTAATATGTAAACATGTGCCTACAGTACAACAAATTCGTTTTAAAAGTGACAGTTCCTGTTCTTGCAATTTACAGATTTTGTTAACTTTTAAAATGTCTCATTTGTGTAGTTTACTAGAACTCGAAACATTCGAGTCACAGTTGAGTTCACATTTACACGATGCTAAAATATTCGCGATCGTGAACAAATAAACACTGACATCTACATAAGCTGTAGCTGTGTAGGTAATATGGAAAAGGAAAATATGCATAACTTATAACGAAAAGTGTTTTTCTAGAGTTTCGCACCAAAACAATTGTTCAATAATTCTAAATGATATTACGTATTTGGTCTGGTGCTCAGACGTTTCAAATAAGATATTTTTTTGCAGAGGTGTTTCAAAGATCAATATCCGATTTTAGCTATCGATGATGTGCGATGGATCCAAGACATGATCATAACGACGACTAAATGGGAAATGACTCTAGTCTAATTAAATTTACACCTATGTAGTGAAATTGACGAATCATACACATGTAATGGCTTCCGAACTGGAAAAGCACAACGACTTCGTCGATCTAACAGCAATATTTTTTTACAAAAATATATTCCTGATATTGGCGGTGGACTTTCTCACTGATTAAACAGCAGGCACTCAACAAACGTTTAGCATACCTTCTGGACACACGTACGACAGATCTTTGAACTCACAAAAACCAAGAAAATTAATCTACACGTACCGTATCTGCTTACCAGTTCAGAAATTGGAGAAGTCGCCACTTAATGCTCTCCAGAAGAGTTGTTTAAGAACAAAAACTGTGCTGTCTTTATAAACTTGCTTGTAAATATAACAACGTTTTTCTTGTAAACAGAGATGGTGAAGACAGACGCTTGTTTTATATCGACAATAGAAGGAAAAACGCATTTCCTCTTCAAATTTCCGAACTGACAAACAAAGGTATTTCATTTTGTTGAAATTTTGACCCCACCTATACGACACCTCATTGGTAATTTTTGTGAAATAAAACGTTCTCGTATTTTCATCGATTCGCGATCATGGCATGACAGACGGTAGATCAAAATAGGCGGGAATGTAATAGAAATTCCTTAGGAGGAAGAGAAACAGAAACAAAACTTGACAAATTGTAATTTTGACGAAATAGTCTCAAATTAATTTGTGGATGAGAAACATTCCATATACATGTTAGTTTATTTATATAAGCTTAAAATTGATGCCCACATGTCAATTTCGAACGATGTTGTTTAGCCGCCGTTGTCGACATTTCTCTCACGCACGAATATATTTGATGCTTTTAAAACGCTAAATTAATCACATTTCCATTGCAATACAAAATACGAAGGCTGTGACCATTTAGTTCACCACAGGAACAAATGATTCACGTCAAAAACCAAAGCAGACTTCACAACAGAATTGAATTAAAATCATCAAACGGAGTCACCGATCGCGAGCGGTGCCAAAACATTTTTTTGTACCGATTTTTTTTCTTGGCAAGAACACTCAAAGACCACAGTCTGTGAATATAGAATACAACCACCAGAAAAGCTCTTTAAACTTTTACGAAGGGCAAAAATCAACCGCTTAAAGTCGCCATACATGCAGAATTTTTTCGAATCGTAATATCGAGTTCTAAAGGAGTACTTACCTGGCAGCTCAGAATCTGGTTTTCATCGACGCAAATTCCAAACCAATGATCGCTTACTTTAAGGATCACCTTAACACTCTTCTTTCAAATATTAGCTGTGGATGAAACTTAAATCGAAAAGCGCATAAGAGACCAGACACAGATCGAAGCTTGATCGCGGCCGTGAAAGAAGTCAATCAACTGGCGCAGTTACAAGTCCTGTCGTTGCGTTACCCTCTTATCCGTGTGGCAGATCTGCTAAGAAGTGCACAGGTCGTTACCTCTGCAAAATGTGAAGTGTTAATCTCCTTGAATGATCAGATTTAACTAATGCCGTGGAAATAAAGGGCAAAGAACAACTTCATCAGTGTTTACAAGAAATGCACAAGGGCTTGCACGTCTACCTCCACGCGAACATCCGCTGATAAGGGAGCGTCGTCGCAGAAGAGGCGAGAAAATGCGGGAATTTTCCAGGTCCCCGCTAAGCGGAACAGAGAATGCCTTTTACGCTAAACGGCTAACGGTTAGTATTTTGTTTTGTTTTGTTTTGTTTTTACGCTAACGGTCAAAATAGTTTCCTTCCAGTTAACAGATATCTTAGAAATTAATTAGCATTGTTTTTAAACACAGCTTTAAAAATTAATATTCATTATTAAAAAAGTTAAAAATTTATTTTGATTACTGATTTACTGTAAAACATATCTAAGGTCTTAGGACCATTTCGGGACGGAAAAAGGTTCATTATAAGAATTGCTGCCAAAAATTAAGTCTTCTGGCTTTTCGAATTTCCCTGTGCTACCAAGCTTTAGGTCACCAAGCCACAAGACAAGACACAAAAAAGTCTTGCGCAAGAGTTCTTGGAACTTTTACTTTAATTTCGTGGCTAAAATTGTTTTACCAGGGGCCCATCCTGGTTTTACGGTTAACTTTTTTTTACGGCTGACGATCAAAATTTTCCAATTTTACGCCATTTTTTGGCCCGTTTTACGGCGAACGGTCTACCCCATTACACCCTCGTTGAAGTACTATAGAGCATTTTCAGGTGATATCATCAAATTCTAAAAAACAAATTTACATGTAAAAGCCACCAAAGTTTTTATTTTCTTTACTCCTTTAAACATTTTCAGCTTTGTAAAAATTAGTTAATTATATCTGTTTGCAACTTTTTAGCCCTATAGCTTTCTTTGTTTGGAAACCAGCGTAATTTATATTTTATGCATGAGTTTTGGCGGTGCGGAGCATAAAGCTACGATCACATTTGTCGAAAAATATATACGAAGCCCGTGATTTTCAGCAGTTTGAGAAGCTAAAGTATTAGGAAAAGTGTTAATGTAAATGTTTTTTTGTTCAGTACCGATAGCCATACGCCGATTAGTTTTCCTTTCGCATCCAATGAAATATTACTGCTGTGATGTTTTGGCTTCAGTGTTGCCATTGAGGACAAGAAACTGCAAGACATAAAGGAAGAGAACCAGTTGACCTGCACCTCTTTAAAACCTCTATATTTTTTGTTTGTTTGTTTTTTTGTTCTTGGCATGTTAAACTGCATCTCTTTTGTTTCTAGGGCTGGGAGCATTGTTTGTGTTGTTTCACCTATTGCTTCCTTTTGCCAATTATAAAGAACCTTGCAAATCTTGTTAACGTTGCAGGTCGCTCCAAGAAAATATGAAAAGAGAAAAGGCAGCCGCCAGTTACCTTCATCACGGTCCGGCCTGTCTTCTAGCATGAGTTAAAATTCAGGTGAAAATCTTCCCTAAATTTAGTATTAACAGATAGCGATGGTTTTTGAGGCCCTATTGGGGGATCTCGAGTTACGGGATATTTAGGAAAAAATTAACGAGATATAAGATATTTGGGGGAAAATTAATGAAATATTGAATATTTGGATCGGATAAAACGGGATCTGGACGGTAGGAAAATGGTTACCTTGTGCAACTGGAATACGGGATATTTAGGTAAAAAATAAACGGATGTGGGGTACTCACAGTCCTATTACCTATTACCTATTATTATTATCAGTCCTATTACCATTATTAATAGATATACTTACACTATTTATAATACTTCGTATTCAATGTGATTGATTCCGGCACTTACAATACAAAGGCTTACACTTTTTATATTACTTACAATGCAGTACATACATTACTTACAATACATTACGATCACTTACGCTACTAAAAAATACAAATGCTTACACTACTTACAGCACAATACGATAACTCAAGTTGCTTAACAATACTAATTAACATTACTTACACTGCGATTACTAACGTCACTTGGAATAAAATTCAGTTACTAATGCTACTTAAAACTTTTACACCTTGACAAAAAGCATATTTCCATTATTGCATTATACAGGCCAAGCTACATCGAGGGGGGAAATTGCAAAATCAAGTCAGTGAGCAATGCTCGATTTTCCATTGCATTTGGAGTTTGGTTTGAAGTTCAGAAATACTGGGGTTCTTAGAAAAAATCTTAAAGGAATAGACATAGTGTTTCATGAGAAGCAAGAGAAGATCCAGTGTGCGCTTTTGGATGGAGGTCAACGAAGTTATTTCATCAGTCAAGTTGAAAAAATCTGTTCAGCAGAAGGACTCACATTTAAGTTGTGTATATCGTCAGTCGTTAAACCACTTTATGGTACTTGAAAATACTGAAATAGAGACATCACACTCTGGAAATGTATGCATTATAGAATCTCTCCTAGAACAGAAATTGCAATTGTCATCGGTTGCAATATTCAATTCCTTAAGTTCCTTTTTGGTAATGATTATCCTGTGTAATATTTTAAATAAAAATTGCCTAAGCTTGTTATCTTTCGTAATCTGATATATCTTGGCAAAATTGCTTCTCCAGTCAAGAAAACTGTTTGGAAATTTTCCTTCCACTTTTTTATTCCAGTAGGCTCTGACACAGAACACTCATAAGTAGTTTGTAAAAGTGTTTACAGCGCATTTTAGACAAGGGTAGAGTACTATCTTCGGATAAGAAGAGCAGATCAGGAGTTGAAAAAAGGCATTCAGTGGAGATTGGGGTTTGCTGTGCAGTTCGCTTCAGCGAACTTGGTATAGCAGCAATAATTTGAAAGTATTGCAGGTAATTGACTTTCAAACCAAATTTTTCATTGAATTCTTCAAGAGATAAGAATTTTCCGTCTTTACTTAAGAGTTCTTGCGCAAAATAAATTCCACTCTCGAACCAAGTTTTCCAAAACAGTGTTTTTTGATTAATTGTTATGTCCTTGTTGTTCCATAATATAAATTTCCCTCTTGGTTCTCCTCCGTATGCACTGCTCAATTCTTGAAAATATCCTAATAGTTCATGATAAAACAGGGGAAAATTCGCTTCGAATAGATGGAGATCGTAGTTCACTTTAATAAAAGGGTTAGACCACCATATTTGTAGAAAAAATAGTTAGGGATAGCCGTAACGATTTGACCTTTGTTCGGAATTTTATAAAATTTAAGCCTCCGTCAGATGTTGGTTGATAAATGATCTGTCTCTATATTATATCCTTTTTGTTCCTCCACAAAAAAGCGAAAAGTTCAGCTTGAGTTAATGGATCACAGGCTCAGGGACAGTTAACATTGATACTGCATAAATCAATTGAGAGACACCCACTGTCTTCGCCAGCATTGAACGACCCTACAGTGAGAGATCGCGTGTTTGCCAAATGTTCAGTTTCATCTTCATTTTACGAATTTTACTGAAGAAATTTTCCTCATTGTTTTTGTCTCCATCATACGATAAAAACGCTTCTTGGTGTTTGGATATCCCGATGAAACTCTGTCTCTCGGCTCGTGTTTGACATTTTACATAAAACGAGCTGTGTGTTCAATGATTAAAGAAATTAGCATCGGGGTATAATTCCAGATTTGTGTTACGCTAGTTAAGGTAGAAATGCCTTGGTTAGCGCGCGCAGGGCTACTAGTTAGGGCGTTGCCCCTCGATCCGGGTTTGAGTTTTCAGAATCAGGGTCATTGTGTCGTGTTCTTGAGCTTAATACACTTTACTCTCACATCGCCCCTCTCCATCCAGCGAGTAGGGCAACTCCCCAGGGGGGGGGGGACTCCTATTTAGAAAGAATGGGGGTTCTCGTCGTACCTTTTAGGAGTTAAAAAATCGATTTTGGAACCTCTTAGGGTGTTTGGCTCCAAAAGTTCCACAGCGGGAACTTTTGTAGTTCCTTTTCGAGTATTGAGCCGAAAATCTTTATGACAGAAGATCAAGTGTTCTTTTAGAATTAGTACCTCTAAGGGGTGAAAAAATATCAAGCCACGACCGCAAAGCGGGATCTCGGTACCGCTTGGGAGTTCTTTTCAAAATTTCTGACGAACGCCCCCGTCCCTTTTAAATGGGAGTCACCCCCCGGGAGGGCCACCTGCCAAACTCTTGAGCATTACTTAATTCTCTCAGCACTGAAATTCAAAAATATAATGTCTAAAGCATTGCTGTGTTCACGTCTAAACTCAGTTAAGTCGTCTTTTTTGGCATAAGTTTATTTTACTTCTCTTAGTGCGCTTGTTTGTGCCTCTTTATCGCCTTTTTTATTGCCTTCCTTTGCTTTCGAGCATTTGTGTGTATAGCTTTGCTTAACTAACACTATGACCCTTATCTACCTACCTATTGCTACGATCGGTAGCAGCTTAATACTAGTATCATATTTTTGTTAGGGATCATTTTATTTGTATGTAATAATTTTTTAAGAATTAAAACGATATTCTGGGCTTAGTGGTGGCAAAAACGAGCACGGTGACCCCTTATTTTTATTGCATTTTTTCTAATTACATAACATGATTACCATACGGATGAAGTTTGAGAAAATGTTTAATATTCCTTCTTTTTAAGTGGAATCACCTTAAATTGATTTTAAATGAAATATAGAGTAACGGAGAGCAGTCCCAGATTTAATATTTTTTGTGTGCCTTTATTTCACAAACAATAGCTCGTACAGCGAATATTCTCTGGGACAGTATCTGCACTAACCTTAAAGATCTCAATGCCTTCAACTTCTCTAAACAACTAAAATTTTATTTACTGCATGTCTAAACAACATTCTGAAAACTTGTATTGATTTTCTCCGTTCTATTACACTATGTGCATATGGTCATCTGTTCTCTTAACAGATCTGTATTCTTTTAAATATCTATACAAACATAACAGTAACTGCAGACTGACTAAAAAACGTTCGGGTTACTTCAATCTCCAGACTCAAACTGTACATTTTTTCTGCCCTTCTATACATATATAAAATGTAAATGTACGAGTGAATAAAGTTGCTGCTGTTGTTGTTTTTCACTATCCAAAGTTTGATATTGTAAATCACTGTCCAGGTTTAACTATCGCAGAACTTCTGTGTAAGTAGAGTATTTTTTCTCGATAAAGCTGGCAGGCTCCATCCCTTTGGTCTTATTACTGAGCTCGCACAGAAGCGTTACGAAGTTGTAGTTGAAACTGACGCATTTTCCATCGCCCAAGCAGGCGTTCAAGCATGATGGGTACTCATTGAGCTCGATAGAGTTGTGCGCATGCCCAGCAAGGGCGTAATGCATCTCGGATGACTTCTGTTCGCAGGTTTGGTTAGCTGTGATCACCATGAAAGTCAAGAATAATAGAAGGGTTGACAATCGAAGCGGTGTTCCGTGTTCGGCCTGTAAAAGGACAAAACAAAACGAAGATTGACTTAAGGCGGGCGGGATACACGATGGAAGTATACACGATGTCTGCATGGCACCGCGTGTCATCTTCTAAAACGCACGCTCGTAGAAGCATTACGCGCGCGACTAAGCAGGTAATTTTACGTCCAATTCTATCTCGTTCCCTGAGACCACAGTTTTTTTGGCCAGTACCAATTAAAGTCGAGAACTTCAGGAGATATTGGAAAGCCAAGCAACATTAGCCACAGCAGTTACTCTTTTTTACGCATGCTAAGAAACCGCAATTGAACTTGAACGCATGCGCACAAGCAAACCGGAACCAGAATTTCTAGTTCCGATCTTTGATTTCGTCTAGAGCGCGGCCAACCTCGTTCCCAGGATCCTCTCTGTTACTCCCTCGAGGTAAAGAGAGGACCCTGGCAACGAGGTTGAAGCATCGTCCGCTCGGTCACCGCTGACCGAAAACACGTGGGCTCTGAGGACGAGATATCATCCAATGGCGCAGAAACAAAATCAATTTCTACTCCACAGGTAAATTTTCAAGTTGTGTCCGCTACAAGCAACATTTCACGCAATGACGGGGCTGAACTATCATCTCTCACTTCTTCTATCTAACCTGTAACCCAAACATATCTTACTCTGTTTTTTTCTTCGAGTTCAGTTTCTAAACCGCAGGAGTTTTGTATTCTTGATCCGCCGTCGATTAAATCTTTGTTGATAGCGTTGACAGCTTAAGCAGTAACTTAGCGTGTTTTTCTGGACCTAATTTGAATTCTAAGATGAAACTTGGCTTGATTTTTCTAAATTATTAGAAATATCACAAACATATAAAGCTGTTAGGTAAGTCCTAAGGTTGAATTGGATCGACACTAAAATAGACAAAAAGCGACACTGAAAACTAAAGAAAATAAATGCGAAGTGCAAAATATATAAATCAATAGCATGTGAAAGTCGGGAGGAACGTTTGGTTGGAAGAAATAATCCGTCGGAAGACTATATAAGCTGAGAGTACAAAATACTGTAGTGATTGAACGGGATGTTAAGAAGTTAATTTTAGCATTTCCAGCTAGTAGAAAGAAAGCTTGTAAATTTAACTAAAAAATTGTTGAAATATTAACTAGTAAAGTGGAAATATCTCGAACTGAATATCATCAAGCATCCATAGCTACTTGTACTGATGCAGGTGCATTTAACTTCACAAAAAATACCTACAGGAACGTTTCACAGCTATTCAATGATCTAGAACTCAGCTAGATTCCCTACAATGGGGCAACGAAACTGGCTTTAATTTTCAAATTCATATTCTAAGGACCAGATACTCACCATTACGTTGTAATATACTGGAAAACGGATTCTCACAATTTTCGACTTTAGAAACTTTCAGCTTCTATCTGAATTTAAAACTATAAAATTCATTGACGTACAGATCACAGTACGTAAGCCGACAGGTGTTTTGAAATGGTTTACTTTGACATACTGTACATGTAAACGAACCATCACTGGTCGCGTATTATTAGGTTAACCAAAACACCTATGACAGTTTGGTAAAGTTTGTAATTTTTTAATGATGCACTGATCCTCGGCGTATTTAGCATTACAATGATTGATGATATGAAGTTAAAAATAGAGAAGTTTTTGGGAATATTCTGTTGTTCTCAGGTCCTCAACGAATCGCTTTGCATACCTCACTTTTGACCTGCAAAAAAATTAGGCTAAATTTTGGAAAAAATGATGGATAAAAGTGAAGAAAAAATAGAGAACTTCGAACTTTGATCGCGGATGGCAATCGTACGGATATCGATGGGATCGAAGGTTTATCGACAGCCAACTATATCGGGGCATTGGACTTTAAGGCTCTGTCCACACTATGGAGGTTTGAAAACACAACAATCGTTTTCCGACCACGCTACGTCGGAGAAATTTGAAAACAAAACTATCACCGGTCATTTTGGATTTGTGTTTGAAGAAACTTCGGTCAGAGAAATCGCATGATTATTGACGGCATTTTCGAGAAGCTCTGTTTTCAAAACGTTTTCCGTCCACACGAAAACGAAAAGCCGGTGTTTTCAAATTCTTCCGGTTTGAAGAGCGTTTACGCAAAGCTCCGTTTTCGTGACGGATTCAGGTGTGGACGGTAGGCCTAACCGTAGAAAAAAACAACGCTGCGCTTTCAAATTCCTCCGACCGGGTCAGGAATGTAAACTAGAATTATGGTTGGGCAGCTATATCTCTTGTTACATTTGTCTTACCCAGCTGAAATTTTCCCTGATTATAAAACTCGGCGTCCTTTCTTGCCTTAACATATTATTTTGATCACTTGACATGTTACGTAATCATTTTGTTAAAATTTACTAAATCGGCGAATTATGGCGAATTTTTACTTCATTGATCAATAAATGAGCGTTTTTGATGTAAATTTTATCTACCTTGCTACGTTTGGAATGATCTTCCCTGATTTTGTTTTTAGAATATAAATGATCAAAAGTCGAATTTTGTTGAAGCCGGAAACTATCTTTGCCGCTATAAAATTTTTCTACGAAAGAGGGACGGTCATTTCAAAAGTGAGAGGATGGAAATGATTGACCTGCATCTAAAACGCGTTTTTGTTGGATGAGATTACTAAAAACCGCCACCAATACCTCAAACAAGTAATGGCTATTTCCACTAAACGTCTGCGACATGTCACGTGATCTGCTAGAAGCACTAATTTTACTTTAAAATGTTCAAGACGTTGAAATCTAACTGTGTGCTAATTCACGAAGCACCACATTATAAATTCTCTACGGCGCCCACTCAAAAGAGAGTTTTTAAAAAGTAGAATTGTGAATGTCATTAAAGATGTGTACATTATTCATCGTGGTGTAAGATAGGATAGATGAATTTTCACTCGTTTTTCTTCAGATGGAGTCACTTTGAGATGTAGATCGTGACGTCTTGGCTGCTATACTTCTGGTCCTCATCAGGCGATGAGGTCAATCGTCGAGTGTCGCTATTTGTAGCACGTTGGTTCGCTGCTATTGGTGCATTTCGATCCTCATTATTTTTCCGACTTTGTGACACTGTTCCTTCATAGGTCCGCATTCTAACTGACCGGCTGTTGTGCTTTCTGATTGTAGGTATCCATGCTTCAGGAATTTCGATTCCACTTCCTCTGTTGATGTTATTTGGATGAAGTCTTATATGGATAGCTTCCCTGATAGATCAATAAACTTGACTTTGTCCCAAATGGGTAAATGCCCTGTCTCGTTGGCGTGTTCTGAAATTGCGGAGGTTTGTGTACGAGCAAGCCGTAATGTCTCTGCCATGTTCTTTTATCCCTTCTCGCGTAGCTCTCCCTGTTTCTCCGATATACACTTTGCCGCATTCGCAAGGAATCTCATTAACAACACCGTTTGTTTGTTTGTTTTTTGTTGGTTCAAGGGTGTCTTTAGGTCGCACTAAGTAGGACCTAAGAGTTGTGTCAGATTTAAAGACAGTGGGTACGCCTTGTTGTTGTAGGCAGTGGCAAAGAACCTCTGATACACCTTTGATATAGGGTAAAACCGCAGTTGATTTAAATTCCTGTGTAGAATCTAGAAAGTAACGAGGGTCCGGCGTTACTTTCGGAATTTGTTTACGGTAATCACCGATTTCAATAACCGAGTTTTAAATCAAACACAGACTACAAGGTAAAACACGTCATAAGGGGTGGTGAATAATATTAAAGTGTCAGAAATTTGAGAGAAGCGAGACTTTTTGACTCCTTCAATTGCGAGACCGAGGCTTCAAAGTGTTTTAACTGCGAGCACGAGACGTTCAGGTTCTACGACATTCAGATGTCGCTTATATATACAAAAAAAAACCCACTTTAATTAATCGGTACTTCGAGCCTTTTTAGTCTCGCAAAAACTCGAGACTGCTGGACAGCTTTGTAAAAAAATTCGAGACTGCAAGACGCATATTTAGAACGCTAAAAAAAAGATTGCGAGATTCGTGAAATTCGAAGAAAATTTTGCGATGGTTTTCAGTTGAAGGACCACTCGCCATTCCTGTCATAGGTACCGAAGGGAATTTAAAACGGAATTAATCAGTTCAGCCCTGTTCACACTACGCCGGAGAAATTTGAAAACGCAGCTTTATTGCTATGGTTAGGCTTACCGTCCACACCAATCCGTCACGAAAACGAAGCTTTTCGGAAACGCTCTTGAAACCGGAGGAATTTGAAAACGCTGGCTTTGCGTGTTAGTGTGGACGGAAAACATTTTGAAAACGGAGCTTTTTTAACTATAGCATTACGACAATCATGTGATTTCCCCGACCGAGTTTTCTTCAAACACAAATCCAGAACGACCGGTGATTGTTGCGTTTTCAAATTTCTTCGGCGTAGTGTGATTTGAAATCATTTGATGCGTCTTCAGAGTGAACCTCCGTTTCCAAATTACTCCGGCATAGTGCGGACGCGGACTAAATATGGCAGCCATGACCAGCCAGCCATGACCGAATGTGATCGCGTAACTTACTAGCTTTAAAATGCAAATAACCCCGGGCGTGCGTCCGATATACTCACTGCTAATATCGAATCAATACGAGTAACTTTACCCTCTCACTTCACCGATTTCAAGTTCAATACCGGTTGACGGCTGAACAAAAGCAAAATCACTTTTACCAGTTTATCAGCCTGCACGCTTCAGTAGCTCTCTGAAAACTAGAAACTGACTGCAAAATACTTTAATATGTTCCGGCATCGCTCTTTCTCAAACGCATGAATTTTAGTTCTTGTTTGCCAAACCTTTTGGAATTTTGTTTCTTAATTCGAAGCCGGTTCACTGCACTATTCGCAACGTTCAATGGAATGAAGTAACGATTTAAAACCGTCATGATGTGAAAATAAAGACGTATTTCAATGGTGTAAATAAGAAGTTAGAATGCTTGTTTCACTTTGTGGAGTTTGTGCTCTACTAGCTATCCAAGCGTGAATCAAGAATTTGTATTTAATAAACATCCATTATTTTATAAACTATTTATAAAATCTGTTATGACTTTCAATTTAGCAGTTGGAAAGCTGTACTTTGTAAGGATTAGGTACTGAGCAAATACAGATATGAAAAAACAGTGAACGTTAACGAAAACGGTTTATGAAAGACATCAAATTCACGTAAGTAGCCCCAGTTTGCGCTCGTAGCCCGTAGCCCTATAAAATTCGTCTATAACTGATTTAGCCCTTACACAACCATGCTTAATTATCGTTTGTTAAAAGTTGAAATGATTCCTCCCGTTTTTGAGCAGTTGAAGTGTGGCCAAATTGGCAATTTTTTTTAAAGTCTATATTTCAATAAGCCAAAAGAAACGAAACTGATTTCAACCCGCTGGACAAACCGAATGGATAAAAATGGATTCAGTTTACTCAAAATACTTGTAATTGTCAAGCATAAATCCATTTTAGTGATTCCATTACGACTATTACGGCAAAACAAACATAAGTGCACCTGGCACGGTGTTGAATACGTGCTCAACCAAGGGAATGTCATTTATTTTACATTTAGTCGGCGACTCGTTCTACCGTGGGAAATTTTCGCGTTCCTTTGTTATTGAAATGGTGCTTGCAAAGCGCGATTTAAGTGCAAAGAAAGATAAAGTGCTAAAGAATGGGACAAACAATGAAAATAATACCTGTTATGTTTTATGCAGCACGTGGATTGTAAGAGAACGGCTTAAACTTTCTGAAACGGTCAATATAAAACTTATTAGAGGCCTTTAAAACTAAAAGCTGTGTTGGAGAAAAAGGAGCTGGTACGACAAAAGGCATGAGAGTGTCGAGTCAATTACGGCACGTGCTCAAATGGCCTCGATGCCTCATTTCAAGAGCTCCGGATTGTCATTTTGCTTTTGTTTTAGAAGTTTGAATGTACGAGTAGCACAGCCATAATTATATGAAGTGAATCACGCGCGTCTCGGCCAATCACATTCGCCTGGTCTCACGCTCTTCACGCGCCGCTGAAGGCGGGAAACAATGCAAATGACGGTTATCGTGCGACTCAAGCGCTTAGCCAATCAGAGGCGACTGTTCCCACGGTTGTGGCTTTGTGTATGAAGCCAGCATTGTTTGGGCACCAAGCCGATTGTCAGAAGACAGGTGTTTGTAAATAAGACTCATCTAATGTCGGCACACGACCCCGATATTTTCCCACGATTGATGAATATAAATGGATCGCATCATGCATGTCGGACAGTTTGCGACAAATACTCGCCGAGTCAACAACTCCGACAAAGTTCCTTAGAAAAACACATTCTTAAACGTTTAAAAACATGCCCGTTGAATGCGTCGACAGTGTACTTTACGTTGGCAAAATTCTGTCGGAGAGGAGGAAGGTAAGCAGTAAATTTTCTAACTTTTTGCTGGTACTTCAGCCTTGAGAAATGAGCTAATAAAGTTTTCGACTTTTCAGAACTTGTTGCTTAAAGTTTGAAATTTGTTATTTCAGGCAAAGAAGCCATTGATGGAAAAAATGCGCCGAGCAAGAATTAACGACAGCTTAAACGAGCTCAAAAGTCTTGTATTGGATCTTCTTCAAAAAGATGTAAGTAGCTGATAAATTATTTCATTACTTCAACGTAGAAAACTGAGAACTGAACCAAACTGAGAATGATTCGGCTCTTCAACAATGACACTTATTATGAACCATGTACTGGGATATTCGATCGACTCTGTTGCATTTTGAACGCTTGGAAAGTTGACATCGTTATATGTAAATGATTTATTTTCTGATTTAATTTAGTCAAAGGTTAAACAACTCAAGTTTACTGAGTATTAATTTTTTTTTTATTAAGGCCTCTCGTTATTCCAAGATGGAGAAAGCTGACGTGCTTGAGATGACTGTCACCTACCTCAGAGCAATGCAGCGAAAGGACACTCGTACAGAAGGTAATACCTCCATGAAATGTTCCTAATCATTTACGACGCACAAAGCATTAAGTTTTATTAAAGTGAATAAACTTTTAAAATTAGGAACCAGGGAAATGCAATGTGTTTAATGGTATATGAGTTGATTAAAAGATTTCGCACAATTAACCCCCCTTTTGTTAAGTTAGATTTTTTTCTTAGAGAAAAAAAAGTTGATATATTCTTCCGTTCTCGCCTCTGCAATTTGAACAATAATCATGCGATGCAATATTTGGATTTATTTACATTTACAAGTTTGTCTTCCAATCGAGCTGGGAATCTAACAGAACTTTTCATTTTAAAACTTTCAGATCCCAAGTCGCTTGCTGAATACCGAGCTGGCTTCAATCAGTGTGTAAACGAAGTCAACAGAAATATCATGACAAGCGACGGAAGCGACCAGCTCAGGGAAACACTCTTGTCACACTTGGCTTCGTGCTGCCATGGTAACGCCACAAACCGTGTCGCCACGAGCCACGCGCCAGGGATTCCCGCCACGACTCCGAGTTTTCCCGCCATTGCGCCAAACGCCGTCTGGGTCCCATATCCTTCACCGCCGCCATCACCAACAAGACAATCTGCGGTTTTCATCCCTTTAACTAGCCCAGTTCAAACTGAGATGTCAAGAACTCCGTCCCCAGTCAGTCCATCCCTCCCTCACGCTCAGCAGATCAGCATCACCTCAGCGAGTTCTCCGAGCGCGACAACAAAAACGGCTCTATGGCGTCCTTGGTGATAATGAACACTTAAATGAATGACAAATGCTAGAAAATAAGCGGAAATATATGTCTGAATGTACTTTTTTTTACGAAAATAATTTAAGTGAGAGTTAAGTTCACTACTTCTCTTAACTGTGTGAAGGAATCAATGCAGATAAAGCTTTTGACGAGAGATTTTATTAGCGAAAGATGTTTTATATATCGCGAATTGCTGCTAGGCAGTTTAAAAAGAATAATATTAAAAAATGAAGTTTAATTTGAAAACTTTGCGTTATTTGTTCTGAAAGGAAATGAATTAATTTCAAGAAAGGGATTTCTTTTATTCTAATAATCACAAGGGGAACAACCCTTTTTGAGAACACGAATGTTTTCTTTTTATTCTCGTCATTCCTGCATGAAATATTAACTTGAAGAAAAGCCAAAAAAAACCCACCGAGACCCAGCAGTCCAACTCTAACCGTGATAGTTGATAATTTATTCGCTTTACTTCTTCGTTCACATTCACTTCCCTCCCATTAATTACCCCCCGCTCATTCGCTTGCAGTTGAGACTAATGCAGGGATGGCGGAGCGTATTTTGAATGGGGGACTTACAAGCAAGCGCCAGAGACGCTAACGTGTAGGGGGTGTGAAGATATTTGTGAAATTATCATTTTGTGTACTTTTAGCTTGAAATTGGGGGGGGGGGGCAGCCCCCCGGCTAGGCTCCGCCGTCCCTGTAATGGAGTTTTTATCAAATGTCTCTTTCAATCCCCCCCGCCATTTGCATTGCTAGCTAGTTCCAGTCCAATACCGAGTATTCGAATACTACTCTCCCCAGTCTTCGCTCTTTCAGTTTTGTTTTTCACGTGCATTATAATTTCTTTGAGTGTCCGCTGACTCCCCTTGCTCTTCGAGAAATGAACATCTACAAACCGTTTTTAGCCTTCTGCCAGGTGTAGTTCCGCGGCCTGTACGTGAAAGCTTCAAGTCTCTAGCAACAATAAAGGGAATATAATTGCTTCAAAAATATCGTTTTCACGAACGCCCGGTCAATATATAAAGAAAAATTAGCGTAAGATAGGCTGAGATATTTAATAAATAGAAGTCCAAGAAAATTGATCAATCATAAATTAATCAGTCGATCTCCTAAGGATGAATGCATTGTTTAGATAAAAAAAAAGAAAATACCGTTAACTCCCATGCTAAATTAAGCCCTGGGCTTACATCACTTCATATGGGGTTTTGGATGGGCTCATAAACGGGGGAGGGGGGCATATATCCGGGGGGTCATGTAAGTGGAATAATAAAATGTTTCGGAACGACGATATAAAATGTATCTGAGAAACAAATTAAAGGTAACATACCATTACATTTAGAGCTATTACCATATTACCCAATTATTACCCTATTCGCGTATAACTTTCGATTAAAAAATTTGATGTTTGTAAAGAAACGCAAAAGGAACGCACTTATGCATTAGATGGGTTTATATCCGGTGGGGAGGGGGGTGGGGGGGATAAATCCGGAATAATATTTCCGGCCTCAAGAGTCCTCATTGGCCCGATGAGGGTGAGTGAGTGAATATCTTTGTTAGCAAATAGAAGGGCTTATATCCGGGGGGAGCTTATATTGGGAAAATAGATCCCTTCACGCTCTAAGGGGCATTATAGGTAATCAGGGCAAATTTACAACGAAGCAAGGCTGCAAAACATACGTTTTTCTTTAAATTTCCGTTCGGATTTCACATTTAGAGACGAGACATTACCAGCGTTTTTGGGCCGATCGAGTGATTGTTGTGGACGTAGGAATTTTTTTACGGTTAAAGCCGAATAATTTGATCGTCTCGGCCGCTCAAGCCACAAAAATAACATCTCGGATACTCCAAGTAGGCTAATACCTAACCCAATCGATTGAAAAACGTTAGTAACTGTAGAAAAGGGGTTTCTCTATTTACAGTAAAAGTTTCTTCTCGAAAATTAAACGCAGAACGGAAATATGAAGAAAAACGTATCTTTTGTAGCTTTGTTTCTTTGCAATCGTGCTCCGATTACCCATAATGCCCATTAGAGCGTGAAAGGGTCTATTAAGGTGGCTGAACACAGTTTCTGATACCTATGTTTCATTGACCTTTTTCTCTGAAAGCCTTGATCCTTCCGTCGCCAAAAATGGCAGCAAGCAAGTTAACAACACAAACTTTGGTTTTTTGATGGTTAAGCTGACGTATGTGCCGTTGCCATGGCAACACGAATAAAAATAAACAGGCCTTTTAAATCGGTTTTGTTTATTTGTAGAAAATCTAGTCATTAGATTTTCTTTATAATTTGCATGCACCAAGCTTGTAACGATTCTCACAAGTTAAGACCATTTTGCTAATAATTTAACAGAGAGATCTTTATCCATCATTAAAGAAGGAGATTTTATGACGCTCCAAATTTTTAAAAGAATAAGAAGATTTGTATGGAAAAAGTTGTTGGAGAGCAAGGTCTTGCTCTCCAGCAACATTTTCCAGACAAATCCTCTAAATTTTCTGAAAATTCAAACAGTCATGTAAACTTACTCTTTAATTCAACGGACCTCAAACTTGGCCATTTTGGTATTTTCGATGCACTCTTTCCATTTCTGGCATTCTTTAAGTTAAAGCCCATAATATAAAAATTTTATAGGAAAAATTTGGTCACGTGACCCCAGCTGCAAAGGGCCTATTAAAATGTAGATTCATGCGTTGAAGTGCAGTAATAAGCTGAGAAAACGAGTAAGTCTTACATTGGAGATGAAATGAGACTCACCAAAGTCTAAACTAAAACTAACAGACGTTCTTTCTCCCTCCTCGCACAAACTTTTTTTGCGTTGACCGCCAAGGCTTTTTACACAGTCCAAAGTTCCACACTGAGAAACGACGAACAATTTAAAACGCATCAACTTAGATTAATATCGCACCACTTCCCTAAGCCAAGTTTGTTTTTGCTCATTCAGTAATGACAAGTTTAGCTGTTTGACTTTTCATTGACAATTCCTTTTTATCTATTTTCGCAAAAATTTAATAGGAAATTGTTGTTTGTAAACAACAGGTCTATCTTCACTAAGAGGTATACAAGAAGTATCTCGTTGGCATGGCAATGGTAAGCCGCATTTTCTTTTAGTCATGTTTGCACAGGTGTTGTTCTATCACCTTGCATCACAAGTTCATTCTTTATATGAAAAAATAAGCTTTCCAATAAACTTTCTAATGATACATAGTTTGCGATACTTTCCGACCACATCTTGGAAGTTACAGTAACTACGAAAGTCACTTCTTCTCTCAAGACCCCTGCTTCAAATTTGGCTTTGTATAGAAATGGATGGCATGGTCACAAGAAATAGGAATTTTATTTATCTAATTCAGTGTTGGTTTTCTCCTTAGAAAACTAATATTTTGAGGTGTACCTCATGGTCAATTGTGCATCAGAAAAAAGACTCAAAATATTGACACATAACTCTTCTAAAATTTGCACATTCCAGGTTAGTACTTAGTCCACATAGATTGCAGAGTGGCTGAAAAGATTGCAAAGTTACCAGGGCACATTTTTGTACAAGTGGTTTGACCGTATTAGCAAAAAGTAATGATGTGTTAAATGCAATTAAAAAAAAAGAAAAGAAAAAAAGAACAGAGTGGAAAACACCACCAAGGTTACAAGGTTGCAAACATTTCATAACTTTAATTCAAAATATAGTGTCATTGTTAACTGTTGTAATGTAAGCTAGCTACAATCCTGTTAAAAGCTTGGTGTATACTCTGATAGGCTAACAAATCATGTTTTACCAGAGTTTAAAACGCAGACAAAATGTGTGGACTGAAAAGACTGATTGCATGCAGCCAAGCCATTGCAGGCAAGTCAGGGTTGATGGTCTATGAGTGACCAGACTCATAAGAAGGATCACATGCACTGTCCCTTCCCAACTCAATTCTCCTGATTCCAAATTTGAGTGTCACAGTATCTTACGGAGTTGCCCAGAATCACCTAAGTATAATTGAAGACTTGAACAACCATTACTGGCTGTGTAAAAATAATGTAAACCAGCCTTATACTTCCTTTATGATATCATGGAGAGAAGTGTGTTATGAGGTATTAAATTAAAACATGCAGTCACCCAGTCAGAGCATGAGTATAATAATGTCTTTGCTTGTTTATTCACTTCAGATCACAAAATAAAATTTCACCAATACAATATTTTTACCCTAATCAAGTTACCTGGAATTTTATTTCAGCGAAAGTTGAAAGGTTAGCAAGAAACAATAATATTATTATTAATAGCCCAGTTCTTAATTTGCTTGAGTGTTTTTTTCCATAACTAATAATTATTAACTCTGAGTGCCATTATTGAGCCAAATGCAGAGACTATCAGTAACTCAACCTATTCCTGCCAACTTTGCAGCCTCTTTGGTCAGACTGAATTACACAATTAAGTTTATATAATTACTTAATGTATGAATCACTTGCAGGGCTGTCATTAAGTTTCGAGTCACCTGTAGCCTCATTCTCCACACCTGTAGCAAACTTTTTACTCTGTGGTTGAATTCTATCAACAACAGGCAATTTCACCTGTAGCATCTAAGGAAAATCAAGCACACTCAGCCGTAACAGGTGTTACAATTTACGGCCCTTATTGATTAAGCCCTGACATAGTAGAATTGTCATATTAATATCAGGGCTGTCAATAAAGGACCACGAGGGTCATAACCTGTAACACCTGTTACACCTGCGTATGCACGATGGCCCTTGATGCTGTGAGTGAACTTACCTGTTGTTGATTCACCCATAAAGTAACAACTTAGTTTGTTATGGGTTAGACTTGGCACAACTTCACCGCATGAGTTCGGTGTGAATTAAATTTGAGGATCAAGCTAGGATACAGGTGAATTAAAACTTAATGACAACCTTGAATTATGTTTAGCAAAAATTAAGAAGAGAAACTCTGCAAACAATGGCTACACTGTAGTTAATTGCCTATTTGTTAATTTATAAAAGGGGCATTTAGACTGCTGGTCATTGGCTTCTACTGACCTCGAACTTGGTCATTATTATAGAAGACTTGAGCCCGCAGTATTATATTTTAAGAGTGACCATCTAAGCCAGCATCCATCCCCCATCAATGATGTGCTCGCACCCCGTCATGTAAGGTGCCTCATCTGACGCCAGGAACACGGCCAGCTTGGCGATTTCTTCAGGTGTTCCAAGACGCCCTTGCTTCTGGCGGGCAAGGAATTTCTTCATAGCTTCTTCAGGATCTGGGGCACTGTTAATTCGTTCCCGCAAAGATGGGGTGTCCACCGTGGCCGGGCAAATGACATGGGTCCGAATTCCCTGAGTAACGAAGTCGGACGCGATAGATTTTGTGAAGCCGATCACCGCACCCTTTGTTGTGCTGTAAACGAAACGGTTGGGTACCCCCCTGATGCTTGAAGCCACAGACGCCATGTTTATGATGACCCCTCCACCTTGTGCTAACATGATCGGAAGAAATTGCCTTGTTATTCGATACATGCTCTTAATATTGATATCGAACGAGAGGTCCCAATCTTTCTCCTCGCAGTCTAGGATTGTTCCATCGTGCACGATGCCTGCACAGTTGAAAAGCACGTCGAGCTTTGAGAATTCTTTGGCGAGGGCTTTTATCGCATCGTAGTCTGTTACATTAAGGATCCTGGTTCGTATTCCTTTGATGGAGTCGAGCTCGGCGAGTTTCTCGCCATTGATGTCGGTGGCTAAAACTTTGGCTCCTTCCTCGGCGAATGCTTCGGCGACAGCACGGCCGATGCCTTGTGCTGCGGCAGTAACTAGGATTTCTTTCCCTTCTAAGCGTCTTCGTGCCATTTTGTGGATCGAATGAGAGCGACAGCCAACAAAGAAAGTTTAAACAGATTGCGTTACTTACTAAACTCGTGACCGTCATGAGAGCTGCTATTTGTCAGCGGATTGCTTTTGGAGTAATATTAATATTATGTATGCTACCTGGAATGTCTCTTCGTTCGTGTTCCTCTAACTTTACTTACTCAATGTTGCACCGACCACACCAATGTTTTCGTTATGCGAAAACGCATACCTTTTTATGCGTTTTCGCCATTGTCCACATTAAAACGCCCGAAAACGGTGATGGAAACGACAGTGTGTGACGCTTTTTTCGTCACCGTTTTCAGAATCCTCCGTTTTCACCCACTCCAACCTAGCTAGAAACGGAGCGTTTTCAAAAGATCCCA